CGGTTCTTGAGAAGAAGTTGAAAATGTAAAAAGTTGACGCACGACGCACGACGGACGACGACGGACAGAAAGCGATTAGAATAGGTCACAAAACAACAATACAGGGCTAAGCACCCGATCTACCGGGTGCAACGTGTCTGTAAGAATTATAATTGCACAATGCGATTTAGAAAATGATCACTAGGCATTTCAACTATTTCAATTTCATTGCAATTATTTTGGAAAGCCTAACCTTGCCTTGTAAAGACTAGACAACCAACGTAAACATGATTTGTAAAGACTCTCAAGAAAATGCTAAACATGTTTTTGCACAGGCTTTTGAGACTAGACAACACATACTTGCCAACTCTCCTATTTAGGAGGGAGACTCCCGATTTTGAACCCCTAAATTGAGCATTTTCAACCAGTGAATTTGATAATTCTAGTGTTTTCTAAAATCTGATAACTTCATCTGAAAGACAGTTAAAAAATGTAATTCAAAAATATTGTTTTTTTCCCTAGGGCGTACATAAACATTTTATTCATGCTTCTTTATCTGAGCATGCGTAATCTTCCACGTGGAAATTTTTAAAAAGTTGGCAAATATATATGCAACCAATGTATACATGATTTGTAAAGACTCCAGAACTTTCATAGCCTTGAAAGACTAGACAACTGAGGTAAACTTGATTTGTAAAGACTCTCATGACAAGACTAAGCATGCCTTGTACTGATTTGTGAGACTAGACAACCAAGGTAGCCTTGTCTTGTAAAGACTCTCATGACAAGACTAAGCAGGCCTTGTACTGGTTTGTGAGACTAGACAACCAAGGTAACCTTGACTTGTAAAGACTCTCATGACAAGACTAAGCATGCCTTGTACTGACTTGTGAGACTTGACAACCAAGGTAAACTTGACTTGTAAAGACTTGCAAGACATCTAGGACAATAATAAACATGCGTTGTAAAAAAACCTAGACTACAAACACACATCTTGACTTCTGATACAGAACACAACATGTCTTATAAAGAATAAGGCAAGAATAATCATGTCTTAAAAAGACTTGTTGTGGACAATTTAAGAGAAACATGATAATTTGGACCACATAACAGGTACTGATGGCAACAAGCTTAGTTCAATTTGGCCTTTGGTTTCTGTTTGTAGTATATCAACATGCCCACCATGGTTATGTTCATGGAAGCACTGACAGTATTGTTGATGAAGACAACAGCGTCCCTGGTCTGTAGACTACTGGTGAGCATCCTCACTGAAACAAAATACAAATGTGTTAATATGTATCTGAATATGTGTCTTAAACTGACATCAGGCTCAACAATAACCATAGAGTTTTGTTAAATTACTGATATTTTTAATGTAATGGCAAATCTAAAAACTTTGCCAATTTAAAAAATATGTAAATGAGATGTAAAATGAGTTACAACTGTTTCATAAAAATTATGTATTTATGAAACATCAAGGGATAAATGTACATAATTTTTTGTTGGAATAAAAACTCATCTCATGATATGTATAGAAATATCAAAATAGGTTTAAGACAACAGGTAAATTTTAAACAATGTTAAGTATCACCTTACTTTACTTACTTTAATCATATTATATTGCCAATTTATTTTAACAAGGGATTGGTCACAAGTTATTACATCTTACATATGTATCACAGTTGTTCTCTCGTCAAACTTTTAACATGGGCTTTAAACGGCTTCAAACATTTTATTAAGCTCTCAATTTCATTAAGATTCTGAGTAATGCCCAGATATATAATATCTCACCTAATGCTCCATAGGCAGCAATAGTCCAGCTGGTTTGACTGATCTGGCCAGGCTCCTTCCTCTGATACAGTGTATTAATCTGTGTTCCCTTACTGAACATTGTCAGACCTGTTACCCCTCTCTGAAACAAACATGAGTTATACATGTACCTAAAGTTAGCATCACATTCCTCCAATAATGATACATTAAAGATTTTATATATTCCGATACATTTTTTTCTCTCTAGGCCAAAAAAAAAACTTGTGTTTCAGCTATCATCCTCAGAAAAAATAGGGTAGGTAGGTAGGCAATTTTATTTTTATTTTAGAAAATAGTTTTTCTATGCTCATATAGAGCAGGAGTTCTGACTTCAACAGTGCATAACACTAAATGCCAATAAGAATTATAGGGTAGGCACAATAATCTAAGGAAGTAGGGTTAGCTGAAATAGAATTTATTTTTCATTTGACCCTATTTGAATTTTATTTTATAAAAGTAGGAAATTTCAGTATGGTACTGATTAGAGCTACAGGTAATAGAATTACAGATGTACATGTACATTGTACCTATACTTGTTTTTATTTTTCTCTTCATATGATGTCCATGTCTTGTACACATGTAACATTATGTAATGTCCAGTATCAACATGACATTGACATGACCTTTTAGTTGACTTGGTATTACATCATCCTCGATACTCCAGGGGTAAAGCTCGCTAACGCTCTCTGCGCCCTTGTCATAGCAAAAGCAAAGACTCAGTGTGCACCACCTTGTGGATGAGATGAGAAGACTAGTTTGATACTTTGATGTAATGTACATCAAAAGAATCTCGCGGTCGCGTAACAGTAAATTGGGCTGGCATTGAAGTCGGGTATTGCTTCTCTGTATTCTTCAATGGACATGTATCAGCCTGGCGATTGGTCAGGTCTTTTTTACCCGAGACCAATCAACTAGTTAGCCACGTGTCTTCAATTTTGCTATGACATATTCCAGGGATGCAGAGAGCGAAAGTGAGCGTAACTCCTGGAGTGGCGAGGATGGTTTTACATAAATGTAGTCTCAAACAATTGCGATATGGCGAAATCTGTTACACTGAGAGTTCATTGGTACCAACTCAATTGGTATTTCCAAATATCTATAAAGCAAATATTAGACCCTATAATGTTAATGGGGAAATTTCATCATGATCAACTAACTGTAAGGAAAACTTCTACCTGCTACAATATTGTAACTCAAGAAAGCACACAAATTTTCATGAAAAAGAAAATAAAAAACTTCACTGAATTGGAACTTACCATGGCTGTATTTAATATCAACTCTGGAAGAACTCCATTGACAAGACATAGAAAGAACACAAAATATCTGTTTTTGTCAAGGTCCATAATTAGAACATCATCAGAGAATATGGAAACCCAGACCGATAAATGAGGTCACAGATAATAATACTTATTTCAGATGTTTATACCGATTGCGACTAAAGAGAAAGTTAAATAAGCACTACTAATATAAACTGATGTTAAAAAGGAAAGTCTTGACAAGAGCATCTCATTTTGAGGAGGAGGAGAAAGAATATGAAGACAGTCATAATTGTTTTGCCTAGAAAAATGGCATCCTCTTCGTTTTCTTTGTTAGGTTTTAATTCGTTTTATTCCTGTAGCAATATAATAAGAAATGGAAGGAATTTGTTCATGTAAATTAATAGTTTTAAAACAACAGGAGGAAATATACAACACTTCGTGAAAAATTTGGTTGATACAGCTAACAGAAATAACAACCTGCTATCATAAATTCCAATGAAACCCCTGATTAAGGTAAGGATACATGATGAAGTAGAACAGTGTTTGGATGCTCAACTTCCGGTTGTAATGGAGCATCAGGCTGATCAGAATCAAATCTGAAAAACACATTTTTTTTTGATGATATTGAATTTTAATACTATACAATCCTCTAAAATGATAAATTCTGATAAGAAACTCATTAAATAGAAAACAACAAAATAGAACAAAGTTACAAAGACTTCATTAATATATTGTGACAAATGTTTGGTATTGATTGCTAATACCATACTTATCTATAGAACACATATTAATATAAATACATTGTATTAACACATACGAAAATTATCAAAATAAGAATTATGTTTATATGCATGTATATGTATGTTTTCACAAATATATGTTGCATGCTAAAATGTATCAGTTTATCAGTAAACAATATATAATGATTATCTAAGCACTGCGATAAAATGCTATAAAATATTGAAACATTTGCTTTTTACAGAATATGAGATTACATAAGGATCCTGGTGCTCACCACTGAAAAAGCATGGCTTGTTTAAAGGTACATAGCTTCTTTACTTAATTCTTCTCTTGAAAAAGCACATGTACAAAAGGATCAGCATGATCTCTGAGGGCATTAACATGTATCTACATACATATATATGGACCAGCGAATTGTGCATACCAAGTAACATTATAAACCCGTCCCTAAATTCTGAGATGCAGCTTTAAAAATATGTTTACAGACAGGCTGTCTGTTTCACAGAAAGACACCGGACCAGGGACAAAGAGTTAGTTAGTTTTTTGCATTAAGTTGAATTATATATATATTTGGGCATACAATTAGTGAGCAATAAATGTAATTATGAATCAAGCAGAAATATTTAATGTGTACATGTACCTTGAAATACCAGGAAGGTATACTCAAAATATGTTGGCAGTGGGTAGCCTTTGGTAAAATTGTAGGAGAGGATCACAGAATATCTGAAAAATATAAAAGAGGTATAGATACATATACATATAAAGCACTTTTTGAAGATGGGTTTTCATGAAATTTCTTGAACCGTTTTACTAAAGACATATAACGTGTTATGATCATCTTTCATTTTGGGTCAATGCAAGTTATAAATATTGTTGTAAAAGTGTATATTTGGAGGACTTAATATTGTGCTGTACCTGTTTCTGTGCTGTACCTGTTTCTGTGCTATACCTGTTTCTGTGCTGTACCCGTTTCTGTGCTATACCCATTTCTGTGCTGTACATGTTTCTGTGCTATACCTGTTTCTGTGCTGTACCCGTTTCTGTGCTATACCCGTTTCTGTGCTGTACCCGTTTCTGTGCTATACCTGTTTCTGTGCTGTACCTGTTTCTGTGCTGTACCCATTTCTGTGCTTTACCCGTTTCTGTGCTGTACCAGTTTCTGTGTTGTACTCATTTCTGTGCTGTTCCTGTTTCTGTGCTTTACCCGTTTTAGTGCTTTACCCGTTTTAGTGCTTTACCCGTTTTAGTGCTATACCTGTTTCTGTGCTGTACTCGTTTCTGTGCTGTACCAGTTTCTGTGCTGTACTCGTTTCTGTGATGTACCTGTTTCTGTGTTTTACCCGTTTCTGTGCTGTACCAGATTCTGTGCTGTACTCGTTTCTGTGCTGTACCTATTTCTGTGCTTTACCTGTTTCTGTGCTTTACCCGTTTCTGTGCTATACCCATTTCGGTGCTGTACCCGTTTCTGTGCTATACCCGTTTCTGTGCTGTACCTGTTTCTGTGCTGTACCTGTTTCTGTGCTGTACCAGTTTCTGTGCTTTACCTGTTTCTGTGCTGTACCAGTTTCTGTGCTATACCTGTTTCTGTGCTGTACCTGTTTCTGTGCTGTACCCATTTCTGTGCTTTACCCGTTTCAGTGCTATACACGTTTCTGTGCTTTACCCGTTTCTGTGCTGTACCCGTTTCTGCCTGTACCAGTTTCTGTGCTGTACCCGTTTCTGTGCTATACCCGTTTCTCTTCTATACCTGTTTCTGTGCTGTACCCGTTTCTGTGCTATACCCGTTTTAGTGCTATACCCGTTTCTGTGCTGTACTCGTTTCCGTGCTGTACCAGTTTCTTTGCTATACCTGTTTCTGTGCTGTACCTATTTCTGTGTTACCTGTTTCACCTGTTTCTGTGCTGTACCCGTTTCTGTGCTGTACCTGTTTCCGGTCTGTACCTGTTTCTGTGCTATACCTTTTTCTGTGCTTTACCTGTTTCTGTGCTGTACCCGTTTCTGTGCTATACCCATTTCTCTGCTGTACCCGTTTCTCTGCTGTACCAGTTTCTTTGCTTTACCTGTTTCTGAGCTGTACCCGTTTCTGGTGTGTACCTATTTCTGTGCTATACCTGTTTCTGTGCTGTACCAGTATTTGTGCTGTACTCGTTTCAGTGCTGTACCAGTTTCTTTGCTATTCCTGTTTCTGTGCTGTACCCGTTTCTGTGTTACCTGTTTCTGTGTTACCTGTTTCTGTGCTATATCTATTTCTGTGCTATACCCATTTCTGTGCTGTACCTGTTTCTTGTCTGTACCTGTTTCTGTGCTGTACCCGTTTCTGTGCTGTACCTGTTTCTGGTCTGTACCTGTTTCTGTGCTATATCTATTTCTGTGCTATACCTGTTTCTTTGCTATACCTATTTCTGTGCTATACCTATTTTTGTGCTATACCTGTTTCTGTGCTGTTCCCGTTTCTGTGCTGTACCCATTTCCTTACCTATGCACATTGCTACGGCAGTGTGCATACTGCAAGTTTGTTAATATCTTTGTTGTTTTGGGAAGCGAAAGTAAACATTTGGTTTATGTCTCCAAAGACGTTGAAAAATGAGGCAAAAGCATGTAAATATGTGTAGAAAAGTGTGTTTTGCTATTATATTTTTACTAGCCAAGAATACAACAAAAACCATCCACAATAGTGTACATGTACTTTTAAGATATAATTTATATATGCCACAACTCATCCTCATCTGTTTAACAAAACTGTCATGTGGTCTGGTTTGTCTGGTTATTCTACAGGTATCTTCAAAAAGAGTATGGTGTCCTTATATGTACTATTTGCGGTGAATTTCCATCTTCATTATCAGTAAATGAAAGTATATCCTCAGCAAACATTTTGTTGTTAAAAAATGTAGCAGATCCATACAAAACAACATACTTATTTTTGACTAATTTAATATATTTCCATTTTTTTTTTTACTGTAGCAGTATAACCGTTCATACAATGTGTACTGTAAATATATGTAGATGGGCACAGAAACTATAGGCACAAAATGGTGTTACATTGAATGAAGACTGCCAAGGAAAAAATTAAAGATAAAAAAACCATTGATGAAATAAAACATGAAGCACATAACTGTTTATTTTGCTCAGATTTGTATATAGGTACGTTTGCAATTTTATCTTAATTAAAGGCTCAGAAACTGAACACCCGATGCTAATAAAATAGCCTCAGAAACTGAACACCTGATGCTAATAAAATAGCCTCAGAAACTGATCACCCGATGCTAATAAAATAGCCTCAGAAACTGATCACCCGATGCTAATAAAATAGCCGATCAATCAATGTAATAGAACAATAAACCATGCTGCTTACATGCATTACTTTCCAACAAATTATGATCTCCTCAAGTATTAATACATACAACTTACAATTAAGCTAGTGAGCTACCTGCTCACCAGAGACCAGTGTGCTTCCACTAGGGATGGAACCAGTGATACCCAGTTTCCGAGTCCGCCACTCTACAGATCAAGCTAAATGAAAATTCCCTCTAGCATGAAGCTAGAAGGCAAATCTCCTCTCTCACAAATTCTAAGCGTACATGTTGTTTTTATCATATAGTTCTAAAAAATATAAAATAAAAATACTTGTTTTAAACCGATCTCTCTGATGCCTCTAAATAGTGTTCAGTATATTGAACGTTTTAGAGTATCCTGTTGAAGTTGAAGTGAAGGTTACCATAATCCTATCTACAATTAAAATCATGCAAGTCTTACTTCCCCCTTTTAAGTGTGATAACCCTTATACCCATCTGTAACAGGCAAAATCATAGAAGTGTGCTTCCATCAGGGATCGAACCTGCGACCCCCAGCTTCCAAGTCTGCCCCTCTACCCTTCACACTGAAGGGAAATTCTCTCTAGCGTGAAGCTATTAGGCTATCGTAATCCTACATGTTAAATGTACAATTAAAATCTGACACAATATAATTACAACCAAGATTTTGGTATTCCCCTTACCAATGCATAAACACACATCTAAAACCAGTGTTGGTCACAGAAGTAACTGTAACAGATGATGGAAAATGCAATTGGGCCAGACTGGGAATCAAACCTTGGACCCCAAAATACAATTATATAATGACAATGAAGTGAAAAAGCATGCCGGTTACTGGTTATAAATCTAAATTTAGTAAATAACAACTTAAAAACCATAAGATGACAACGTGAATGACTATTAATTTAAGCTCCACATGTATGTTAATACCATCATTATAAGAAAACTCGAAGTTTAGATCCTTCGTGTCAACAATGAAAGTGAAAGTAGCGTGTTGATGAACACGTGTCATGTGATCAATATTGGACTCCATTGTGTATTTTCTGGTGCTACTTACGCACATTCTTCCACAAGAACGCTCACCAAACTAAGACTTTGCGTGCTCTTTGATTTTAAGATTGCTAACATCTGAGGTAGTTTTAACATGAGACATGTTACAACACACGTAAGGCTTAAAAAATTACAGAGGGCGTCGACAGCAGACGAAATTTCCGCCATGTTGGGAGCTTTATCAAGTGCGGAACATTAATATTTTCAACATGACATAAGATAAATTATTATTCACATCATAATTGATTTAAGTATTTTTCTTTATTATTGTTCATTAAAAAGCGTAGGGTGGTACATTGTAATAAAAATACCACAGCAATTTATGTTTCATCTGTTGACTTGGTTTTCTTTACCGCGGACCTGTTTCTGTTTACATCGAGCTTCCGTCGCAGCATGGCAACTAAAGAAGCGAAAGGGAAAAAGGGGAAAGATGGGGAGAAAAGAAGTGCTAAAAAGAGCGAAGGGTCGATAATCGACGATGAAAAGAAAGATGGATCCATTATTGGTGGGACTGAATCGACTCCAACCGAGGATAATGTCCAGGAATCGCCTCGTAAAGAGCCGTCTCCCGAACCCGAATACGACGAACCAACTTTGACGGAACTAATCATAGAGAGGTAACTGGGGTTAACATATCCTATCGCGACAACTATGATCAAACTGAATTAAGTTATATTATTTATCTTTTTCTGGAGTTCATACCTACCATTTTCTATATCACTGTAACAGGAAAGAGAGTAGTGTGTTTCCACCAGGTACAGCCAGGAACCCACATCCCCATGGCAGCCTTCCTAGTCAGGCACTCTGTCACTGATCAAAAGGGAACCTCCCTAGTGCAAAGTCAGAAGACAAGTTCTGTTATCATATACGAGTACAATTGAATTAAACTCTGTCACACTACTCACCCTATTTGCTTGTAATTTATATTAAAATAATTATTACTTCCATTTGATTTATGCCCCTTTTCTGTTTTTACATATAATTTGGTTCAAAATACTGCTGGCCAATATTTATGAAACTGTTTTTTACACACAATCGTTTTCCAAGTTAGTTATATTGATGAGATCATGATTTAACTGTTATATAGGATTTCATTATTTCAATAGCTTTATCTCCCATTGGCCCTTTCTGATTCCCATTATATATATTTTGTCAAAATAAAATCCTGAACTATCATTAAATGAAAACTCATCTAATGTTCAAAGGTAGTGCGGGATATTATATCAGTTATATCAGTTCACCGGTCTGTATCAAGCTATAAGCTTCTGGACCTCCTTGATTTTGCTTTCATCCGCAAACAGTTTTATAGTTGTCGATACTATTCGTTAGGTCATTTATGTATATTAAAAACAAAACCGGATTGAGGACACTTCCCTGAAGGTCACCACTTTTGACCTTGACCCAGTTTGAGGCTGAACCGTTTAGGAGTATACTCTTTCGTTTTCTATCTGTAAAAAATGAACATATCCACTCAAGTAGATATCCTCCGATACCAATGCTTTTCACCTTTTTTAGAAGTCTGGTATGAGGCACACTGTCGAATGCCTTTTGGAAATCCAAATAAATGACATCAATGGCATTTCCTTTGTCTAATAATTCTGTGATGTCATCCAGAACTTCTAGTAGTTGAAGGGCGGTAGATTTTCCTTTTATGAATCCAAACTGTGTATTGCTAATTATGTTGTTTCCTGTAAGAAGGAGTTTAGTATTTTTGCTTCGCACATTGATCTACTCCCAAGTTGCCGAAATCCGTTTCCCAACTCCTTTCCTTTTTGCTATTGTTGCTCTATTTCTTGCTAACCTGTAGTGTTCGTAATTTTCAGGAGTTTTATTTCTCAAGTATTGTTGCCACATTTTCCTTTTGTGTTTTAACTTATCTAAACCTGGTTTGTTCATCGAAGGTTTGTGTGCCCGGGTTTTAGAATTTGTTGCCACAGGTACATTTCTCTCGATACTATTTATTAACTTGTCGACAAAACAAACCCCATGCTTCTCGAGTTCCCAGGTCCTTGAGGATGTTTCCCCAATCAATAGACGATAATTCCACACTCATTTGGTCAAAATTTTCTCTGTAATAATTGTATTTTCAGGTTTTTGATGTGTCCTGGGAGTAAAATAGGAGATTGAATTTGATGGCGGAGTGATCATTTTTTCCAATGGTGTTCCAATTTCCAGTTCTTAAATCATGCATCATACCTTCCTCATTTGTTATTACCAGTATTGACGGAGCAATCGCCCTTCTCTGTGTCTTGTATCCTCCCGAACATGTTGACACAAAAAGTGGTCCATAATTATTTCCAGGAATTGATTTGATTGAGAGCCTATGGGGTCCGTGGTTGATTCAGTTTCCCAGTTAATTTTCCTAAAGTTAAAATCCCCAATAATCAGGATATGGCTTGCACTTTCTGATGCACTCCTGATAACATTTTTGAGACTAGAAGTTACCAATTGTTGAATTCGGGCTTTTGTATACATTTCCTATCAATAATTTGACATTTTCTTTTAGTTTAATGGCAATTCGAATCATTTCAGTGAATGTAACTATATATTAGTTGGCATGTGACTTAAAGATTTCTGATGTTTTATGATGTTTGTTATTACTGCTGTCATGAAAAACACTGTCATAATTACAGCTTTGAGGGTGAGAAGCTGCGCGGGTTGTACGAGGGCGAGAGTGTTGCTCATTTCACCGGTGGACACCTATACAAGGTAAAGTATTTGAGATCAATATCACCTTTATGATGATGTACTCTAGTTTCAGATTTCGTTTTAATCTAAAATCTTGTTTTTAAGATAAATTCAAGAAATCTGTACATGAATTTAACTTAATTATAACTTATATCCATAATTTATAATTAATAGATCATTAAAATCATTAATGTTAGGTAATATCGTCAAAGTTTTACTCTGACAACCAAAACAATTACTTGCCAACTCTTCCTATTAATATAAGGAGGGAGACTCCCGATTTTATCTGAAAGAACAACTCAAAATATGGCATTTTAACCCTTTCACCACTGTAGACCATAATTGACTCATCCAAATCAATGCATGGTAGAGTCTACTTAAGTTGAATAGGGGTGAAAGGGTTAAATGGTTATTGTGTATCTATACACACATTTTATTAATGTTTTTTGAGCTTGAAGAATCTCCCAAATGGACATTTCAAAAGATTGGCAAGAATGCCAAAATGTATCATTACAATAATTCACTGCATTTGATTCCTACTAAATCCCCTTACGACCCAAGACAACCAGCTAGGACATCAATGTTATCGTCCTCAATACTCCATGAGTTACCCTCAGTTACACTCTCTGAAGGCTCAGTGTGCGCCCCCTTGTAGATGAGACAAAGAGACTAGTTCAATCCTTTGATGTCCATCAAAACAATCTAGCGGTCAAGTAACAGAAAAGTTGATAATCTTCAAATAACAGGTATCAGCCTAGCTAGTATTTGGTCAGGATTTTTTTTACCCGAGACCAATCAAAGAGCTATCTTTGTGCCTTAAATTTTGCTATGACATACTCCAGAGTTGCAGAGAGCGAAAGTGAGTGTAACCTTTTGATATTGAGAGTGCAATTTTATTTGAATATAACGTCAATGTAAAATGTGTGACTTCAGGGGATGTTCATGGAAGGCCATATGCATGGGAAGGGATGCTACACTTGGTCTGATGGAGTTACTTACGAGGTAATGTATCCTTGTCCTATGATTGTCAAACATTTCTCAATTGTTTCGATATATATATATCATAATTTCATAAACTTATCAACTAAATAGTATACATATCAATACTTTGAGCTTTGGTTAGAAGCAATAAAACATAAACCGTATACGGTAATGCTCAAAAATTTGTTATAAATTTCATATTTAAACCAACCTCATATCAAATCGAAGGAATATATACTTCATAATTTTTAAAATCATGTTTTATATCCTGCAAAATAAGAGCTTGATAATACAATTATCTTTTTTTTTCGCACACAGAAAATTTAAAAAAAATGCATTACATTATGTTTATCAGAACCAAAAGTGTGCAGAAACAATGTGGGTTTTTTTATCTAATAAGCCAGATAAACAGTTAAATGAAAAGTTGCAGAATTATTACATACTTATAAGCAATTTCTTTTGCAATGTAGGGTGAGTTTTACCAGAACAAGGTCACGGGCAAAGGAAGTTACAGGTGGCCAGACGGAAGGTAAGAGGTTAATCCGGAACTTCTGTGCTTAATACAAAATTGGTATTGTGTAATGCACATTATCTTTTAATGAGATTTTCCCCCAATATTACATAGAACCCCACAAATCATCGGCTTCTGTAAAACTCTGATAGAGAGTTAGAACTTTGACCATTGAAAGTTTTTCTTTATCATTTTTTAATCTCATGAATGTGCTAAAGGAACAAAACAGAAACAATTTTATTTTGTGATAAAGTATTATTTAGCAATGTAAATTTTGCTCTTGGTTACAAAATGTTATTGAACAAATCTTTGAATGAAATTACAGGTACAAGGTAATTTCCATTCAATTCAGAAAAGTAATCAATATGGTAGACATATTTTAAACAGATTCTTTTTGTAGGTATATAACCTTGTATTGGGGTTGAGATTAGGGTTGAGCAGAGGGCGGGGGGGGGGGGAATGTAATTTTGAAAATATTTTGAATGTCGTTAATGATAAATGAATTCTGTTAAAGATTTGAATTTAATGATTAAACTTATCTGTGAGACAGGCTTTATTAAGTTAAGAACTTGTGGAAAAGAGACTGAGGCTTATTTTTGTGTTGCAGTACTTACGAGGGTGATGTGGTGAATGGGAAGCGCCATGGTGATGGAGCATTCCACTACAAGGGAAACAAGGTGTCCTACTCCGGGGAATGGTGTGAAGGTAAAAGGAACGGAAAGGTCAGTGTCAACTAATATAGTATATTTTCAATAGCAGTGTTCTCATTAAAAGCCAGTTGCTGGCAAAAGTATAGCCTGCTATTCATCAACTTTGAACCAGGTTTTTTTTCAGAAACATATACCTGGTAGGTCAAATTTATAGCTTGTGAACAACCTCCTATTTCTGTACTTAGTGAAAACACTGAATAGTAAAATACACACATATATAAATCTGTAGTTATATTTCAAAAGTAGAGATCTCATTTTCTCAAAGCATTTTCATTAGAAGGGCAGGTTTAACAAGGATATATAATTTTTGTTTCATTTTTTGTAATGGATTTAATTTACAGGGAAAGATGGAATACGATAGTGAGGGAAAGTCGTTCTATGATGGAGATTGGGTGAACAATGTCAAGCATGGTTGGGGCACTCGTCAGTATCCCTCTGGCAATGTCTACCAGGGCATGTGGTTCAACAACGTCCGGCACGGTGAGGGAACGATGAAGTGGCTTGACAAAAACCAGATCTACAATGGCAACTGGGAAAATGGCATTCAGGTTCGTTTTCAAATCGTTGTCTGTTTTAACTTTTATAAATCTAATTTTCACATTTAAAATTACTCACTCAGCACACATACAGAAACAGTCTGCCATTAAAATTTCTATATACTCACTATTTAAGTTATTGAAGTTTTCAATAATATATTGATATCAAAGAGAAATGCTAATATTGCCAATTTATATTATCTGGCACAAATGTTGAAATTGTGACAGGATTATGGTATTCTTTGTGGTTTCACAAGATCTTTAAAACCTGCAAAATACTGATTATGCCTAAATCAGCATAAAAAAATACAATCAGAGACATTTGTCTAAAAGGCAACCATTCAAGGCAGGTATACAAGATGAATTGAAAAGATGTGAAGAAATTTCATCACATTCTTATCAGTTACATATTAATGTTTTCACTACCAGTCAGAACTCTTTTGCCTCTAAATCAATAATGATTATTAATGAGTGAATATAAAGTGAACTCTGTTTTATTTGTATAGCATGGTATGGGTCAGCATAACTGGTTACTGCGTCGTAAGACAGGGTCACAGTACCCCCTCAGGAACATGTATGACGGCGAGTTTGTTAATGGCCTCAGACACGGCTTCGGCACGTTCCTGTACGCCAACGGTGCCAAGTACGAGGGAGGTTGGAAAAACAACATGAAGCATGGAAAGGTATGTGATAGAAATTACCTAAATTAAAAATTGAAATTGAAAAAATAGAAACATCATACTTATGAGAAAGATATTAAATACATGTATATATATTTTTCTTGCATCAACAATTTCATTTAATTTTGCATGGAAAGGTATGTGATAGAAATTACCTAAATTAAAAAATTGAAATCAACTGTAATTGAAAAAATAGAAACATCATACTTATGAGAAAGATATAAAATACATGTATATATATTTTTTTCTTGCGTCAACAATTTCATTTAATTTTATATCAAAATTGATCATAAATGGTTTCAATAAGAAAAAACATTGACGTACTATCAATTATGGGTCTGTCGAGCAACATTTCAAACATAACCTCATGATATAGAGGCATTCAAAGTAATTATGTAATCTAAGAGCTTATACTAATATTAAGGTTTAATCTAAGAGCTTATACTAATATTAAGGTTTAATCTAAGAGCTTATACTAATATTAAGGTTTAATCTAAGAGCTTATACTAATATTAAGGTTTAATCTAAGAGCTTATACTAATATTAAGGTTTAATCTAAGAGCTTATACTAATATTAAGGTTTAATCTAAGAGCTTATACTAATATTAAGGTTTAATCTAAGAGCTTATACTAATATTAAGGTTTAATCTAAGAGCTTATACTAATATTAAGGTTTAATCTAAGAGCTTATACTAATATTAAGGTTTAATCTAAGAGCTTATACTAATATTAAGGTTTAATCTAAGAGCTTATACTAATATTAAGGTTTAATCTAAGAGCTTATACTAATATTAAGGTTTAACGTAGAATTTAATATATATATGTTGGGCTAGGGGTGGTAGAGAAGAGCTAAGAGTAGATGTTACATGGGTGATGGGGTCAAAACATTGCTGAAGTATTAAGTCGAAAGTAATAAAATAGATTGGGGGGTTGTTGAGGTACCAAAAAAAGTGTCCTCCCCCTCCCAACAGACACAAACTTATTTCTGGAAGAAAGTAAAAGTATGAGGACCCTAAACTTTTCTGGGTTTTTTTCCAAAGGATTGATTTTGATCATTATTGTTCAACTTTTTTTAATTTTATTCTAAACAAAAACATCTAAAAAAAAAGATTTACGTTAAACAAAAACATCTCAAAGATAACGTTTAACACAAATTTTTATATACTGTAATACATTATAGTACATTAACAACTCCCTGAAAAAGAATTTTAAACAGATGATTTTTTTTAAATCTTCTGCATTATTCTTACTGTACAGGGGAAGTTCACATTCAAGAATGGAAGAATCTATGAAGGGATGTTCGAGAGGGACCATATAGTGGAGTACCCCGACTTTACTATGGACGGCGCCACCACTCCCGACATTACACAGATCAGGACCCGCACACCGCTGCCTGGGGGTGAGTGGAAAGGTCAAGGGTTCATGTGTGAGACCCCCCAAAATAGTCAAATGTAACAATTTTATATGAAGAACAATATCCAATAGTCCATCAACCATGCAAGTACTTAGATATGGTATTAAACTTAGTCAATATATGATTTTGAATTGCATTTTTTGGGGTCAATATTAGGGCAGAAATTGTATTCCATTCCCATTATAGGAAATAGTGTTTTTCCTCCAGTTTTGTCAAAAAGTTCAAAAAAAAAAAAAAAAAATCTTATGATGCATATAATTTTTAAATGTAAATCAGCTTTGGTAAACAAACTACTTGTATAGTCTTTTAAATCGGATTTAGACAAATATTAATCTTTTAATAGGAGTAAAATTTACATTTTGGATGCACATAATTATTTCACTTTTCCCAATTCTTATTTCCTAATTCTTAAGCCCACAATAAAAACTGAATGTAAATTTTTTCTATCCACAGATAACCTGTCGGTCCACAGTAATGAGAGCAGGAACACCATTAGTCCTAGCTTCCAATTGGACATCGAGCACCTCCTTAACGAGTTTACAGAGTATGATAGGGAGGAAGAGGCTCGACAGGTAAGCAAACATACTTTGGTTGGTTTTCATTTTGTTTAACTTCCTATTGATTAACAGCTGAGATCATTTAATGACATGTCTCCATGTGGGTTATGTTTGCGTGTATGTGTGCTAGAGGCGGCATATGCTTGTGTGTTTGCCTCCTTGAGGTAGCACAGATCATTTTTTAATGTCACTTAAAAGTGTTATAAAGATACATGTTCTGCAGTAAATGCCATCCATTTGATAAATATAGGATCTTACATGAGTTTCTATTTCATATGAGATTTATGAAACGAGTCTAAGAATTTTTCAATTCAGTGTTTACCTCTGATGAAACTCGTCACAAATTGACAGAGGCTCAATAAATTGATTTTTTTTTAGACTTGTTTCATAAATCTGGTGAAACGGAAACTCATGTTAGATCATTTTTATCACATAATCAGGATTTGTGGCATTTATTTTTAAAACAACAATTTTCATGTAACCTTGAAATGTAAAAAGCCTCCATTTTGCCACCAATGAGTAAGTCTTCAACGTGATGTACTTGTCCTAGGATCGAGTGACGTCACTATTGAAACTTACAACCAATCACAGGGCTGATTCATTGGATAAAACAGTACATTATGTGATAAACAGTATTTATGATCAATTGTAACTGTTTAACATGGTCTCTCCCCCAGGAGACAAGGGCCCGTATTCATGAAACCGTTCTCATGCTCAAGCTTGGATTTTGTGCTCAAGTCAAATTTCCTGTAAATTATAAATTATTTAAAAAATCATATTTTGTTAAAGTTTTGGACAAAAATTGAAGAAACTTGAATCCGAATACTGTTTTCGATATTTAAATTTGACTCTTTGATGGTTGACATGATTTAGATGGGTTACAAGAAAGCTGGCTTGAGCACAGAATCCATGCTTGAGCATGAGAACGGTTTCATGATAACGGGCCCTGCAGGATCCAGTTAACACAGATATGTAAAGCAAAATTCAAAATCATGCTGCTTTGATTTGATTTAGTATGGTGCTACAATAAGATAAGACCACTGTGACCTCCTACATCTCTTCAAAAGCCTCTGTTGAGATCACTGTTAAATACCTAAATGGGTTTAGGTGTTATTTTTCCTGTTCGTTGTTAAGTTGCCTTGTTTTGAAGAGGCATTAGTTGCCAGAATATAAACACGTTATGTCATGCAATAATCATTATGAGATTATACATTTTTATGCATACAATAATATCTTCATAATTAGCCATTAACTTTTTTCATGACTTCGTCGAATAGTTCATGTTCTTTTGCATAATGACAATAGGAGTTTAATAAACAAATACAGAGGTGATTCAGAAATCCATTTTATTCACAGGCCTTGTGCGTTGTTATGCGTAACATCAGTGTTCTGAGGAAGATCTACAACTTCTACAGTTGTCTTGGTTACGAGGAGAGTACAGACAACACATTCGTGATGAACAAGATGCAGTTCTGGCGGTTCATGAAGGACTGTAAGCTCCACGATGGCCAGCTCACCCTCATGGATATGGACAGAATGCTTGGTAATTAAGTGTCGTAATGAATTTAACAGCAGTTACCTCCCCTCGGGCAACGGTTTGCCTGAGTCATCTTAGAATCACCCTGTATGATTGACATTCGGTAATTGTTGCATCAAATTTTAAGTTTTATAGAGGGGTTTATAAGAAAAACCTTGCTGCAATCAAATCTGCTCTGCTTATTATATAAAATCACCTTCATTTGGAGACCACCTGTGTTAATTAAGAGACCAATTTAAATGTTTTCCATTGTAGTGATTTCATTGTGATTTTAACCAGTGTTAAGAAACACCTGCATTGAAAGACCACTTTGGAGTTAAAAGGGTCTGAGGTATCTTGATGCAGATTCCATTTCCAACCCCCAAAATATCTCAATGAACTCAGGATGACCACAGAAACTTTTGTACCTTTTTATTTGGGTTGCAAGACAAAACCTTTCAGCTTAGTTGGTGTTCTGTATAACAAATCCTTGATCTATGTCTGTAAATATCAAACACATTTGACATGTTACCGTAAAAATATAATGCTATTAATCCTTTCACCCCTATGTAACTTTAGTAGACTCTACCATGCATTGATCTGGATGAGTCCATTATGGTCTACAGTGGTGAAAGGGTTAACGGGGAAAAGGTAACTCATTCACCCTGAAATTTAATAATGAACTATTCCAACCTTTGAATTATAAGAAGAGCTTAAATGTGTCTTTAGGGGTGAATGAGTTAAATCTAATGTGAATGGACTTTCAGGTCACAGTAAGGCCAGCTATGAGATCCACAACCCGTACGAGAGAATCTTGATCCGACAGTTTGTCAACAGTCTCATCATCTTAGCCTACTACCTCTACCACGAGGAACACGAGTGAGTAAACTTAACACGTCACTGCTATTTGTAGATTAAGCTAGTATTAATTAACTCAAAATATGTATGTACTATGTGTGCGTGTGCACTTGTCAAATGTTTTAAGTACACACTTTTAGACTTTGAATAAATCAAAGAAATATTAGTCTCAATTACAACATATTTTTATACTGTCTTACTTTGAATTTTATCTATAATACTGAGGTCAAAAATCTAGCATTTGTATTGAAATTGGGGATGGGACATAACAAAATAAACAAATGACCCAAATGTTTGTCAAACTCGTCGCAGTTGTGTAAAATATGTTCAAGTTGTTTCATGCATGATTGAGAAACTAAATAGGAAAAGGACACAAACAAATTGGACAAATGTGTGTCGCGGATGTCTTCAGGTGCATGCATGTTGCATGCATTTCCAGTAGAAATGCTCCAATTAAGCCCTCATGTTAATACAGCAAAATACAATTTTACTGATTATGTTTGTTTTGTTATTTTTTACAAAACCTTTCATGTTGTTGTTAAAAGCATGATTTGCATGTAATTAAGAGGGTGGGGTGGGTTTGTTCCCAATGTTACGTTTAAATGTGATACATCATTACCCATACATCATGGAAATAAAACCACAAAATAATCATGCAAAATTCTGAAACTGTTTTTTTCTTTGCAGGGGAACTGAGCCTGTACTGGCATCTTGTATGTCCAAACTGATCCAGGACAAAATTCTTAGGAATGCATGCAATGTCCAAGGTATAATCATTTGTTATTCTTATTCTGATTTTCAGGCTGTATTAAATGGCAGTAGACTTTTTCAGTAGCTCTATGGAACAGCCTAGTTAGTCAACTGCGGCACCGTCACTCCTAGATGAAAATGACAGGATATTGAAATTGTTTGTTTTTAACTTGAACATTTTTTTTGATAAAAAAAGGAAACACTTGGTTGATAGCAGTTTAACTGGAATCTAATTACTAGGCTAACGAGGCCAAGATTTGCATGTCTTGCTTTAACAAAGCTTGTCACAAAACAATAATTATACAATTCATACTAAAAACAAGACATTTTAATGCACATGGAAAACAGTATATCATGAAAGTTAAATAAATAAAAGTGAGTGTCCTGGAACTGGTTACAAATTTTACGGTATGTAGATAATCGTGAAAATAAACTGGAATCATTCCCCCTTTTAGGACACTTTTACCATGAGAGTCGTCGGTCAGTCAATGCCCTGGTCCATCTTGACCAGTCGTACGAGGTTTACCAAGCTGTTTGCTCCCCTAGGAAGGTAAGTACTTGACGCTTTGTCAGCAGTCAAATACTGGTATTATTCTTCTTATTTGTGGATTTCATCAAAACAAAATATTGTTTTTGGCAGAATCATTGGAGATTGTTTTAGGATTCATGTCACATTTTGAAGTGCTAGGAGGGTGCCATAGGTCAGTTATGCAGGATGCTTTAATTGTCAGTGCACCACTTTAAATTAGGTATTAGAAAATATCTTCAACTATTACTGAAAACAGAGAAGAGGGGAAGAGCTGAGAGGAGCGACATATATAAAGATATGAGAGGAGGAGAGACAAGAGGGAGAGTTGGGTTGGGGAGGGGGTTGATTGGGGGGAAGGGGGCTTATGCCAAGAATAATATAACATATACAATTATTGCATAATGTAAGATTATGTCATTTTGACAAAATGTTCTTTTAATACTTTTATATATACTTGACCCTGATCAAATTTAACAAAAACAAAAATAATCAATACCTTGCATCATAGTACTAAAAATGATTTGTAAAGATGTTTCTCATTTTTGATGATGTTTTTATTGCTTTGTAGTTGGTACCAAAGGATAGCTCAATGAAGATGAGACAGTTCTTGTACATGATGAAGGTTGGTAACATCTGAGTGTTCATTTTTATATCTAAGAACACAATTTAAACACTTATTCCATATTTATTTGTTTTTATGCTATACATATTCTTATTTGCACAACTCTTCATTTACATTTAGTTTTTCCATTAAAAGTTCCTCTATAAGCATTACCAGGGAAATTTGCGTTCATAGAGCTATTGAATGGCATTTTTTTCAAAGTTCATGCTGGTATGAATGCAAATCGGTTACATACATTTTCCATGAAGCCTGCTACCGGCATGAAACTGAAGAAAATGATGTTCAATCCTTACATGATAGAATATGTTGTTGGTTTTGAGGACGGGAACGGGAACTTTTAAATTGTATTTAGGAATGTATTGTTTTCGTACACAGGATCTGAAGCTGATCAACAATGATTTGACTCCTAAAGCTCTGCTGGACATCCTCTCCTCCGACGACCCTCGGGTATCTGATGGGGAGGGCTGTTGTAATCTGGAGTTGGAGGTAAGCTGTAAAATTATAAATAATTGTAAATATATACTGTAAACACATACATTTTAGTGGTATTCTAATTTTAGCACTTTTCACGCTGTAAATATTGTGATTTATGATACTGTGCTAATTCATGTTTTGTATATAATTTTCTATTTCATATATTGTAAGCCGGCCAATTCATTCATGCGCTGATCTTTAATATTTAATAATGCACTAAAATAAATACTCTTACAGTATATATACATCTGTATAATGTTAAATTCATTTTTTCCCCTCTGTTCAATCCATCCTCTTGTTTAAGAGTGAACTTGGTAAAAATATAATGCTAAAACAGAATACTTCATGAAGCATGTGAATACTATGTAAGTCATACATATTCCTTTGCAGATGACATTTTTGGAGTTTTTCGAGGCACTGATAGGCTCGGCTGAAGTATTTGTGACAGAGTCTGTTGTGAAGGACCCGACAACACCAAGACCCAGTACTGTCCTCACACCGGAACAGAGCATGTTCTCCATGCCCGTGTCTCCTTCGCGGATGGCTAGTCAGGTATCTCATTAGCCCTGAGGGTCTTTGCGGGTCTAAATTTCATTGTTTTGCTTCTCGTACAAATATGTCTGTTGTAAATTCGGGAAACACCACTAAAAGTCAAACGTCCAAACTAACTCTCTATCACAAGGGCATCAAATTTGCTGAAATTATCTTTTATGTATTCTATTTTCCAGACAATGAATATTGTTAACAAATATCTTCTCCTAAATATCAGCACCTTTCAGTAGGAGGTCCTCATAGTCCATACTGGAATATCTGTATTAGGTTCTCGAAAAAACTGGAATTATAACTGAGTTCTTGTTAATAAAATAAATGAAATGACACAGCAAAACTAAATGCATTGATGAATATGTAGTTATGTAAAGTGGGACCTTAACCTTTCAAATCTTGCTGTAACAGTGCATAAACAAATATTGCTGTAACAGTGCATACAAAAATTTTGCTGTAATAGTGCATACAAAAATCTTGCTGTAACGGTGCATACAGAAATCTTGCTGTAACAGTGCATACAAAAAGCTTGATGTAACAGTGCATACAAAAATCTTGCTGTAACAGTGCATACAAAAATCTTGCTGTAACAGTGCATACAAAAATCTTGCTGTAACAGTGCATACACAAATCTTCCACATCGTCAAGAACATTTTAAAGGTCTGTTAATGTAGTTGGAAATCATATCATAAATTTCATAGCAAGTAATTATAAAACCATTATTGTTTAGCTGATGTTTTTCTTTCCTCTTTTGTGCAGGTTGGAATGGATGCTGTCGAATCCAATGCCCAGGGGTCTCCTCGCCAGGGGACTGTTTCTCCGGAGACAAGTTCTCCTGTTAGGGCAGTTTCCTCAGCCGATGGTACGACCAAGACAGGTGACATAACCTCCAAACAACATGAGGTGAGCTTTACACGTAATGTCAGCAGTGGTTGTACAATTATCATGTAAATAAACTGAGTACTTATTGCTTAACTGCAAATGGTAAATAAATTATGTAAAGTGTGGGTCCACATATTATTATTTTTCTTGTGTAAGAATCTTTCTTCAATTGAAAACATTTACCATTTGGTAGCAGTGTATAGTAGAAATGACCTGACTCTAAAAATAAAGGGCATGTCTGAGATACACATGGATAGTGGATTCATCCTGCACAACACACATACTTATATATAAATATAGTTGTAAACTACATTATAAATTCAGTTTTTTTACAGCAATGACATTTTTTCAAGAAGTGTTTTTCACTAGATGCCAAAAAAAAGACATTATTTTTAACCCCAATGATATGGGTCTTTTTTTTTAAACCTGTCTTTCATTAAATACCATCTACTTGGTAAGAGAGATACTTTTGTTTAGCTTCATTCAATGGATGTTTTCACAATATTTATTCATGTGCTGAGTACCAAAATAGACAACATGAAAAGCTAGTTTTTGTTGTGTAGACACAGATTTGTGAATAGCCAAAACTGTATTCTCAAACCAAAGGCAAGCCAAGCCCACAAAGTCCACTTTATCATATATATGCGAATTTCAGTGCTGATGTTTATTTAAAAAAATTAATACATGTCATATAACAGGACTATTTATTGACAGAAATATCACCCAAGGCCACCGTGTGCTACTGTATACTGCTACCTTTGGGAGTTCTTGAACGTACTCAATTTCTACTGGATAAATATGTTTTGTCTTTTAACAACACATTTCAAATTGTCTGACAGAGGGTATCTGTTTCACACAGGCCCCATCATGAACTGTCTGGTGTTAGTGATAACTGTGTCTATTGTTTTGTTCTGTTCTCAGTCTGGATCCATGGCTACAGGAGCATCAGAAAATGATCACCCAACTGCCGTCAGTCGTCATGAGTCTGTGAAAGGTACTCCACCATTTCATTTATGTTCTTCTGTATTTTTTATTTTTTATCCACGAACAATTCTACCACTTCTCATGTTAGTTAAACTTTGTGAGGTTATTTGTATGGAAAAAAAATCGTAAAGAAAATTTAAAAATTTAATAAAATTAGATGAACATGCTAAATTATACCTGTTCAGACATCCAGCCACTGGCACTCTTAAAAAAAAATTAAAAAAATAAACAAATGATTGTTATAAAATGAACAGGGAGAAATTATTTCTGTTCAGCCACTCAGCCACTGGCACCATTACTAAATTTTAAAAAGTGGAAAAATGTATGGTAATGAGATGAACTTGCATTGTGAAATTGATTCTTTCCGGTTATCCAGCCACTAGCACAATTATTAAATTTATTTATTTTTATAATTTAATGGTAATGAAATGAGCTTGCATTGTGAAATCAATTCTTTCCAGACATCCAGCCACTGGCAGAGCAACATAAAAGTGCCTCCTTTGTGAGCACTCACACCAATGCTACAGATGCTGATGGTCACATGCTCATGCAGAGTTCGGTCTCCATTGGCGGTCACACCTTCGGGGGCCAGACTGAGGGTGATGATGACGGGGACTACAAACATGGTGAGTTTCCAGCTGTACGGTCACTTTGTGTATGTGAAGCTGTTCAATAAGATTATTATTCTATCATATCATACAAATCACATATATTCATAAAGATGTGTTACCTAATTTATGCATCAGATAAATTAATTGCAAGAGTTTGAAATCGTAAAATCATAATAATAGTAATTATCACGATTTTAAATGTTTTCGTTTGAATAAATGTTCAACCCTGCTTGTGAATCAATGTGAAAATACCTGCCTCACACTGTCAGTGTTGTACAGGTACATAAACAACATTTTTAGTTTATGTTTATGCTTTTATCAGGTTTTATTGATATTCGTTAATTAGTAATCTAAGATGGATGTATTGTTGTGCCATGTCATTTTTTTTATATCACGTAATGTAGAAAAAGTGTAAAATGGAGGGTAACAAAATTTACATATAGTATTTCAGCATAGTTTTGTTAACCTTAAATGCTTTTCACCATAGTTGGTATGGCTGATACGGATGCTGAAGATGATGAAGAAGAACTTGATGAGGCTACTCGACAATTCAACTTCTGGACACATCAGATCCACATTTTCTTTGTCCGCAAGTTCTTTCCTGCTGCAGAGAAACTTTCCCAGTTGAAGACATCGGTGGAGAAGAAGAGAATTGATGAGGCTAAAGAACGTCTTAAGGCTGAACAAGATGCTGAGGCTCTGAGACAAATCAACCAAAATTAGGTTGAATTTTTTTAACTGTCAAAAAGACTGAAGTTGGACTTATTTTTACAATTATTACCTGTGTTTGTAGAACTTTGTCTGTGATAAAAAAATAACTTGTTTCCGTCCTAGCTTACGGCACTATAATTAAAGTATTTTATTAATATGATTCAATTGTACAAACAATAAAGCATTACCTCTCATACGAGGTAATTTCCTATCTCAAACTGAGAAAACGTCATTCATAGTATTCATTTTTAAGAATGTTAGTGTAGCAAAAAAGACTTAAATGCGTTTTTCTTTGTTGCTTCATATTCATATACACTTAAGTGAAAAAGAACAACATCATGTCGATATATATATAAATAAACAATTTTATTTTGGAAACGTAAACATTGGGCAATTAGCATCCTTTTAAATACATGTATTTAAAACCTCTACTGATATAATTACTCCTTATATGCAATAATATGCATAATAAATAAAGTGGATCATTTACAAAATATTACACCAGGTTATAAAATAGACAATATATATGTACATCTTTTTTTTTCTGATAATGAACTAATTTCAATATAAATTCTAGTGCAATAATGAAAATTTCCCTTGTCCAAGATACCCACCAGGTTAACAAAGTATGTGGAGAAAACACAGAATGTGGAAAGACAAACAGCCCAATCCATTAGTGTGCGGGGAATACATATATATATATATATATATCCAGAAAACAACACGAATATCAAGATATTCCGTAAACTTGACTCATGATAAAGACGATTTGTGTTAATTGGTTAGCTTGTGGTAGTATCGTCTACCGGCAGAACGTCGATTAATCAGCGAAATCCGATTACACAGTTTGAAGATGTCTTCATTCATTCATTGATTGTTATGATTTTAACATGCTTGTTCTGTACAACTACAAGTTACAAGTGAAGACCTATTGAAATATTGAAAGACAAACAGTATTTAAGGCCTAGACACTCGTTCTCTCCCAACTCCATCATCGACTGGAATTGCCTCGAAAATTGCAAATCGAAAAAAACACCAAAGACATCACTCCTTAATTTGAACAAGTGTATCTTCCATCAGTCGTACGCGTACGTATGCCGATATACTGAGCCTCCTTCATTGAACTGCAAGTGAAGTGTGCCCTCTAATTGTATATACGTTTGCTTAAAGCTAAACGTTCTTCATCGGAACTACAAGTGTAGTGTGACCTACGTATACAGTCGTGCACAGGCGCAAAGACTGGGGCTCCATAATTGGAAGTAGCATATGCATGTCTTCATATGGTACGCTGTCTTTTTTACCATATTATGAGATTACAATATATTTGCAAAGAAACGTTACGGCGTCCTTGTAGGAGCACGGAACTATAGATCACAAAATCTTTACAGACACAGGTGGATTGGCATCGCAATGCTATCGTACACTGTCGATTTCAGCATAATGGTTTCCTTCGTTGACATCCAAGTTCATGTAAATCTGCAACAGAGATAAATAGCTATTACCAAATGCATGGTATGTCTGTTGAATATCCAATGAATATAAGAAATCAACAAGGAATGATGATAAATATGCTGAATCATAATATTATCATATTTATTGGGGATAAAAATGCTCCTTAATAACAAGAAATGCAAAAAAAAATGAAACTTTTTAGGAATTTAGGGGTTTTTTTTCAAAATATTTTAAACGTTTCGGTTCAAGACACATAAGCCAATCAGACGTTGAACAACATGCCCTCGTAATTTATCACACTGCATTTATGTGTATTCAACAACATGACCCCGTAATTTATCACACTGCATTTATGTGTATTCAACAACATGGCCCCGTAAATTTATCACAACGCGCTTATGTGTATTCTCGTTAACAGATATAGTAATCACCTGACTGTCCTCCACCATGCGTTGTAATCTCAAACATAACTCCGAAAATTGCGGTCGGCTCATTGGTCGTTCATTCCAACACTGCAGCATCATTGCGTACCTGTAATAATGACAAGTTACGAATCACACGTAAGCAAGTTACATCAATCAAGACAAAGTTTCACGGTGTAAAAATATAATAGAAAATATACACCTGAGCGTAAGTAAATATGGATAAAATGGGACACAATGTCGAAAAGTAAATATATTGATAGGAACCGAGGAGACACGGAAGGCTGGAAGTGTCCTGGAAAAGTAAAGGTACCGTGGAGAAGAGGAGACTATAAAACGAAAAACTTGATATTTTGGAATTTGCAAGTTTTGTGAATCACATGGTGTAAAGTTTCGTTTAACTACAAAGTGTTCCTGTATACCACTAAAAGAAGTACTTTGTATTTATTCTATCGCTTGCTACGTTGTAAAGGTAGTTTATATGTTAACGAAAACTCACATGGCTGGTTCGCACTTCTTTGGTCGCCGGAGTCGGAAGCCCTGCTTGAGGAGGTTACACATCTGCTGTGTCTCCAGACCGTGATAGGGGGTACCGCCCAGGGAAAATATCTCCCACAGCAGTATACCGAACGACCACCTGATAACAATAGACGTAACCATTGTGAAATTATTTGAGTGATGTGGTAAATTATTCAGGGAATTTAAACACGTTATTTTTTTTTTTTGATTGAAAATGCATTCAGATGTTAGTTCATTATTTTAAAGCTTTCTTCATTGGTATTTGGCTTAAACTAATGGTCCAGCGCTTAACGCCTTTTACAAGAAAGGTTATTGATGTTAATTTGTAACCTTATGGCTCTAAATAAGCATTAAATTTACTGCTTGTGCAAAAAAAAAGTAGTGATGGATTCTTAGGTAACGTGGGTAAAATTATATTTCGTTGGAAGAGGTTCACGTTAGTGCTTTTAATATTGCTAATTACTGTTGAATGGTATACATATTGTTACTTACACGTCACTCTGTGTGGTATACGTAGCATTGAAGAGAGATTCCGGCGCTAGCCATCTTACTGGTACTCTTGTCTGTAGAGAAAACGTACATTGAACAATGACAAACATCCACAAAGATTCCAAGATAACGATTGAAGTTACATCGAAGAAAAGATCTTTTAAACTGCATGAATTTCATGTGTACAACGAAAGGATCCACAATTATGGTGTTCTTTTGCAGAAGTTTCATTAAATATATTTCGTTTAATATTTACATATGGCCGAAAGGAAACAGACGCACAATGCTAAATTAAATGAATCTAGCTGAAGTAAATAATAAACAACAACATACATTTGATGTTTTGATGTAGGTATCGTCGTGCTTAGACAGGCCAAAGTCTGCCACCTTGGCGATGAGGTTGTCGTCTAGGAGAACATTTCTGGCTGCTACGTCGCGATGGATTATCTAAAAGGGGAACACAGGAAATATGGCGATTAGATAGGATATAACAAAGTTAACTAGCGATTTTTTTTTTCGTTGCAAGATGATTGACTCAATTGAGTCCACGCCATTTGCTGTAGCATTCTAGTTGGAATTCATTATGGCACGGTTTACATGAAATACTAGTATAAAACAAATTACCTGTTGGAGCCAAAACATGTAAATTAGTAGCTTTTTTATGATCTCTTTTGATTTCGATTTTCATTCTTTTAACCCTCAGTACCATTAATGAGTAATGATGCAGTAAATGTTTTTGTGTTTTTTTGGCTTTCTACATTGACTTCCTTTTAGTTCCTATTATTTATCAATTTTATTCATTCATTTATTTTATTTTCTCATATTAGCCGAAATGATAAGCACCTATAAAAGAAAAATTCTCATCAACGAGTCTTCAGTACTTTCATCTCTTCTAGGAGATTCTCCAGACTGTTTATTTGAAGTATATGTTATAACGTCACATAATAGTTCGCTATAGCGACGTTCGCCATATACGTAGCCGCCATATATATATATATCGTACGGTGAGATATAGCCACGGGCTTGACTTAGCTGGATATGAAAGGTTAGGGATGCGTTTCAAAAAAAAAAAAAAAAAATAAGTTTAAGATTTTATAGACCACTTGTACAATTGTTTGCAAGAAACAAGATATTGCGGTTTCAGTGTAATGCTATGGTCCATAAGTCAATAAGACATTATCTGACATATGTGTAAAAGCACATGTTCACTACGTTAGAATGCTTTCGACTTACCTGTTTCTCTACCAGGTGGTTAAGACCTGATGCCACGTCCAATGCAAATTTGAGGAGGACAGAATTTTGCACGGGCGTGATGGAACTTGTATTGTCGTATATATGAAATTTACCCTTCCGGATTTTTCTAAGATAGCTTCTTAAATCCCCATTCTTTGCATATTCCATGGCAACGTACATTGTTCCTGCAAAGATTAAAATCTCTAGTACAGCATATGAATTATTAGGCTGCATATAAATAAATCTGCAAACCATAGAATGAACACACGTGACCATCGAACATGTATTTAACAGTTTTCTTGTAAATAAGATAAATAGTGATAGTAACTTCAGTAAATTACCTTGGATGTGACAAGCGCCAACCAAACACACAACGTTAGGGTGGTGGCCGACCTTCTTTAATATGTTTAGTTCATTGATGAAATCGGTCTTATCCTTCTCTGAAGCAGTTGCTGAAAGCCAAGAAAAATATCATGCATTATTTAAAAGATTTTATTCAGAAAGCCAACATATACCAGTATGTTAATTAAACAAAATGTATGTTGATGGACTAATAACAATAATTTGAAAAATAAAATCAGCTTACAGAAAGGTTGATTATCGTAAATAGTTGGATATCACTATTGCTTAGAACTATGCTATCTTCTAAAAAGTGGGTTACACTTTTGCTTAGAAATACGCTATTATCTTAAAAAGAGGTTATCACTATTGTTTAGAAGTATGCAATCATCTAAAAAGGAGGTAAATAATAGTTTTCAATTGTTGTGTTAAATCGCAATTTGAAATTTGAAAATATCATCACAACCAATCAACTGTCTTACATTTCAATGATTTGACAGCCACATTGATCCTATTGTCTCTATCCTTCTTCACATATCCCTTCTTCACCATGCCGAATTGACCATGTCCTAGTTTTTCCGTGGTCAGTATTAGGTTGTACTTATTTAATTCCCACGGACCATTCAACACTTGCTCGTACACATGGGCTTCGGGTTCTTGGAAACTTCTCTGAAGTAGGATAGAAAAAAATGTACCACACCGTCAATACAAATGGACAACATCCCGACTCAAAATTCGGTACAATAGAATAATTGCTAATGAGGAGACAACGAAACGAACATGAATGACATATTGTATTCCTTCCCCTAGCAAACCTTCGAAGCCCCGGCACAACAAATTCGAACAAGTTTGTAGATTAACAAATTACAAATGTATATGTGAAAAAGATTTAAATTAAAGTAAAGTCTACAGACAACCAACCTAGATATAATGCCTCTTAATTCATTGCTTCCTCGCTTACCAGCAATGTGTGAAGATTTTTACAAGATTTCACTTTCCTTTATTTTCTTTATGACTGCAGTGTACTTTTACTTCAATGGTTCCTATATAACGAGCAATAACTGCAGTCATTGTTTGATAGCTACGTAATATTTAATCGTATTGAAAACTTTAATATTTCTAGACTTTTACACGAAACTCAAATTCGAGTAAGATCTAAAACCGAGTCTAAAAGTTTTTCATTTTATATCCATTATCCCCATTGTAACATGTATATGATATAGCGTATATGACATCATATTGCGTCAAAACAAATCACATTGTATAACTAAGGTAAAAAAAAAAATACATGGGCATATGCTCTGAATATTAAAATAATCAAGTAATAAACTGAAGCTTGCATCAATTTACACAACGTTGAGCAAAAACGCTACCTCCTGTTCACTTCACATAAAGAAAGCTGCTTACCGTTGTAAGCCTGTAGAACCGGCTAAGGAACCTGCCATGGCGTGGCCTAAGGAATAGGAAGTATACTATCGTGGCGGTAAACAACAAGGTCAAGGTCACAATACAGGAGACAAGTACAGGTACTATAGCACTGGACATCTCGTATGACATACTTCTCCCAGATACTGGAAATAATGAAGAAATAAGGATGTACTAGGAGAAGTTTAAAGCATTATACGTGGTATATTCCGTTATTTTCTGTAACAACAAAGACTTTGTAAATAATGAAATATTTGCCATCTGAACAAGTACATAAGGTTAAAAATTAACTAAATTTGTAAACCAGTAGGTGCTTAAAGTGCTTCAATGATGCATTTTCAATGCAATTCTCAATGCATGCATGTTACATATCTCACACAAAAATATGAATACTTTACCATCAAGGCACCGTAGTCCTGTATATCCATCCGCGCAGCCATTGGGGCATTCTCCTGTTGTAAGGTTACAAGAAGCATTGCCACCACACATTCCACATTTGTATGTACAGCCATGGCCATAGTATCCTTTTTCACAACCTATCAATAAAACGTTCAATTTGGCATTTTTCAAAACTATCAGAAACCTTGCAGTCTGGATAATTAATTCTTTTAATAGTGTTAACATTTCGTTGAACAAATAAATATAATTGGCGATTTTATTGCTCGGAGACAATAATATCAGTAGGTCCATTTATCAATTCATTAGATACAACGATCCCAAAGGAAGACTAAAACAATATATCACTAGTTGATGATTGGAACCAGTGCATCTGGAGATCAAGTGATATCATGTAGGGAATCCCAGTGACGGCATCAGCCGACAAGGGGATGTTAAATTATACCGAGCCCGTTACTGAGACAAATCGGCAAATACAAGGTTCAAGTTCTTGTAGTTCTACAACGCAAAACCTTTCTGTTAATTGTCGAGTCTTTTACGTATTGGGACTTCTATTTTAAATTGTCCTTGTGTATATGCCCACATATACTTTACCGAGTGAAAAAGCCAACGGTCACTTTATTTAAGTGATTTGCTGTTACAATTTCCTCTTGGGCAGAGCATTACAGGTTTACTTAGCAAGTGAAATACGGCCCTGACTGTGCCGACTTCACGACACGAAATTGAGCAAGTCTAGCGTACATAGTAAAATGTGTTAATTTTAGATACGATGGAAGGTTGCTTTTATAACGTTTAAAGAGACCAGATTATATTTATTATTTGCCACCATTTTTTATAATATATAGCTTTAAACTGACCGCCGTTGGTAGTTTGTTTTGCGCCTGACTTTGCAAGAAACATTTACAGAGTTTTCCATGCTTATTCATCATAACATAATATCACAGATCCCTTAAGAGTATGTACTTCCGAGTCCTCTCGTTGATGAAGTGTTTTCATCAATTAAAACGAAATATAGTCCGATACAGACGCTCGTGTCGGCCTTGACATAGAAACTCCCATTACAAACGACAGCTCTTGTTTACAAAGGGAATACACCTTCAATACCTACGTCTGAAGATGTAAGTTTTGTCGTGTTCAATGAACATGTCGCTTTGATAGACGGTCAACACCCATTCATAATTATCATTGTCCAACCCTTAGGTCCTAACCTTCTCCTGCACAACGTTACAGCCTCATTGTCAGTCAGTGAAATTACGTTTCTTCTGCAGTTAGGCAATCGTTGTACAATCTGTATACACCCGGGTATAATTGGCTGACAGAGTTTCCGGTCGTGCTTTCTATTGTCATAAGTAAGTACAGTCTGATATCATCAAACAAGTTCACTACGAGACAAATAGGTCAGACACTTTTATCTTCCTAATATCTCTTTATTTGCCCTCAACATTGACTCGTGTCAGAAAATAATTGACTTAAATATATATCATGGATAGAAATATGTCGTCGACATCTCATTGACAGTGTGTTACGCAAACAAATACCTTACTAGCTGTTACTGAATATCTTCATAATTTCTTTTTTAATCCGTCATTCGGCAAATTGGGATCAGAAACGTTAATGCGACAAAGCAATATTCTATATCAGTTTGGTAAGTTTGCTGTTGTCACCATATTATGGTGTTAAATTACATTTAAGAAAGTTGTTCATGGTTAGAAGTAACTCGTGTACTAACAAATCAAGAGAACAATACATTTGTACAGTATACGCATTGGCGCAGAGATTTCACCAAAATATTTATTTACCTCAAACTAATTATATTGATCTTGCAAACAATAACTATATTTACGTCTCTGATGGTGTTTACGTATCTTCTGCGATCAATTATATCTTGATACAGTATATGGGCAGATAAGGTGACTGCATTAGACTAAATCAACCTACCAATATCATGACTGCACATGCTAAATATAGTATTCTGGAAATAAAACCACCATGATTGAGTATTCTGTATACATTATACAGGACCGTACCGATACCCGATGTATCACTGATAAAAACATCATACTTACTGACTTCACACCTTCGCCCCCTCCAGCCTGGCCGGCAACCTTCGGTACATATACCCCGGCTGTCACATGTCGTGTTCTTGTAACACTGACCACACACCATGCTGCAATTCTCACCGAACGTACCCGGCCGACACTCTGAAACAGAACGTGACCAATTAGAGAATGTAAGACGAAGCACGTTCATGATGCCATTTTGAGAAGCTTCTCCTTAAATAAACATGTATTTACGCATTTACTACAACATCCTGTCCGTTCCTCGTCCTTGACCCTTTGATGAAGTGAAACAAAAATAAACATGTATGCCTTTTACTTATACTTACTCCGTAAACAAAGTTCACAAATCATTTCAGAAATGTTCAAAGAAGTCCTCTTTATCTATATAAAGGTTATAAAATATATTAGAAGTTTGCTTACTTTCTTGGCATGTTGGTTCCTGCCAGCCCTTTGCACATCCGTACAGGCACCTGCCAGTCTCGTGATCACATGTTCCGTTCCTGCAGTTACCACATTTCCTAAGGCACCCTTTACCAAAGTATCCTCGGGTACATCCTGTAACGGCATGGCAAATTGTTTGAACGCTAAAACGGCGAGTCATTTTTTATATTTATAGATTTCATGACTACCATAGATACAACTATAATATATTTGATTTGCTTATTAAGAACATGTCTCATCGTTTTAAGAGGTTTTGTATGATAATCTTACTCTTTTAAGTCGGGAGGTTTTCAATTTTGTGGTGGTAGAAAAGTTGTCATGGGTTGTTTGCAAACTGTTTCACTTACTTCTCACGCAATTCTCTCCTGACCAGCCTGCTGCACAACCATTTCTGCATGCACCTGTCATGTGGTCACAGGACTCATTGTCAGTGCAATGACCACATTCAATAGCACAGTCCAATCCGAAGAGACCCTCTATGCATACTATATTAAAAAGATAAAATATTAAATTGATCAATAATCACCGTTGATTACCACTTAGCGGGTGTTTTTTTAAATAAATTAGAAATCCTCACTTGATATCTTTCTTTCGATCTTGTAATATAAACTTAGAAAACTGTGACATTATTTTATCGATTATATCTGACATATCTGCTATCTAAAATGATCTATTACTATCATAATAAGCAAATTCAATTGATTTGGTTTACTTTTAGTTTATAAACCGTTATGTACCTGAGTGTATACGAGTGAATTGTACATTGTCACCAGATAATTTAATGGATTTTGTTTCTATTTATTACAACCATATTCAACCAATTATAGATACCAGAAAAAGTGCCTGGTAGCCCTTTACTGACCTGTATCGCATCTCTCGCCGGTCCATCCTTGCTTACACCCAGCGCTACACTTCCCAGATACTGTGTTACACGCCTTGTCCTGTCGACAATGGCCACACTTTGCGGAGCAGTCCAGACCGTATCTAAACGGCTCGCATGCTGTAAAACAATACAAATGTCATTAATCAGACGCAGAAAAAATTAGATGCTCTTGACTATCATGCTGCGCTTACAAATGTGCTCCCAATTTTTAGCAGCAGAATTAACACATTATGCTGCCATTATCGTACAAAATACATTAAGTATGTAAATTATATTCATATGTATTGCATATTTTATATTTTTATTATATATTGATACCAAAATACAATTGTTTTTAAGAGAGAACTATTTTTATTTTACTATACGATCTTATCATTAATGAAAGTATTGTCTCTTTCTGTTAATATTCATAATTCCAAGGAGAGAAAGTTCTTCAATTGCACAAATAAAAACCGTTTCTGATGACATTTTGATAAACAATTTTTTACCGAAAACATTTTAGAAATTTTTATTTTTTGAAATAACAAATCCAAAACTCCAGCTCAAAGTTGAGCACGAATAAGTCTTGAATGCTCCTCGTGTGCTTCAGTCTACTCATTGAACTTGCAGAAAAGTTTTATTTTCAAATCAAAAACAAACATACTTTTTTTCTTTACAATGATATGCAAAGTGTTCATTATTAACAAAATATGATAAAGGGCAAGATAATGCTAACTCTAACATAAACAAAATAGTATTATTTTTCCTACACTCGCTACTTAAAACAATGACTGGATCAAGAAGAATAAAAAAAATCCTTTTTTCGAAATTATAATCTAGAATTATGCAAAAACATTGTGATTGTTTGATTTAACTTGTTTATTGCCATATCAATTTCCATTCCTGTCATTATAGATATAACACTGATCTTAATATGATATAAGTAAAATCAAAGTCAAAGATACCACATGCCTTGTTTTGAAAATTTAGTTTTCGTACCTTCATAATTTAAAATACAAGTCTTTGCAAACGATATGTCCCTTATTCGATGCATTGCCAAGGACTTGGCCAAGTTTCATTTCACTCATCTGCAATATATTGCTTTTTCTAGATAACATGGATTGTCATTGAAATGATATATTTTCTCTGTTACATATTTTATATATTTTTTTTTTTATAAATGCCTTTAATCTTCATTCAAGTGGAAACTAAATGTTTGTCGGCAATACAAATGATATGTTGGATCGAACTGCTAACACCACACAGGATTGAAAAAATAAGTTTAAGACATTTGAAGAAGTGCATCAATTTACATTAAAGATAAATTGAACTCGTTACTCTGTAACATACTCACATCGGTTACAGAACTGACCGGTCCAGCCCGGCACACAACCGTTAATGCACTCTCCGCTGACTTGATCACAGGTCGCATCGTTCCGACAGTGTCCACACGAATGGACACAGCTGATACCGTAGTAAAACCCCTCACAAGCTGTCAAAGGATTGGTAATGATTGTATGCTGCTTCTTAATAACATTACTTTTACTTGGTAGCATGTAAGAAACATATATACTGTACACCTGGAAAGTTTCTCTCAATATTTTTTCTCTTTCAAATGTAATTATTCTGTATATATGCAGTCATTGATGTTATAATCATTGTTATTCACACATGTTATACAGTTCATGTTAACCACATTCCAGGCTGTTTTCATCGTAAACTTATTTAACAAATTACTCACTGATTTCCAAAAATTGGTCATCTAGAAACAAGAAACCTTGACAGACTGAAAAGCATTGCGCAAAAATACTTGATTTTCAGTACACTTTAATGCAATCTTGAAAGGTTGGCAAACGGAATTGTCTTTGTTACTTTTTCAAGATCAATGGAATCTGGGACATTCTAAATATAGAATTAAAAATAAATGATATATTTTCTTCTGTTCCTCGTCATACACGACTTACGTTTGTCACAGTCAGCTCCTTTCCAGCCGGCCGCACATCTCCCCAGGCATGGCGTGTTACATCCATGCATACAGTGATTTTTACACCCTATAAAGACAAAATCCGAATAGTAAATATACAAACTTTGTCAAATTTCTTTGAGTTTTAAACCATCGGAATTCTTAATTACGTCTCTGTAATCATCTGTAAGACCATAAAAATTCTTACAAATTCTAATTTCTCTTAAAATTGCCATTTTCTTATGTCATAAATTTTATATATATTGAATTTGAAATATTTTAAGAATGAGAACCATTTTGTTTCTTCTATATGTAACAATTAAGCATGTCATCTAAGTACAATAAATATCAATGGCATATATATTCATCCTTTATTTAAAACGACCACTTCATAAAGTGCAAACTATATGTCACTGCTTACAATATCACGACGTCTTATCATGGGATGTCAAATGTATACATATATAGATAAGCTAATTCATATTGAAAGTTCAAAGTCTCAATACAGTTTTTATTTAGTTTGACACCTTCCTCTACTATAGCCTTCACATACATTTAGAGTACACGAGTGTCAAAGTGCTAATATACTTTGTGTGAGAGGAACTGGCAAATACACTATGTTACTTTAACTTATGAGATCTTGAGACCGAGCGGCGACTTCCTATTCTTGTTAGGTTACAAGCCTCACACTGGTCACGATATTGAGGTGTGTTTGTGTGCGGATCAGTGGAATAAGGTAATTAACTAGTGAGGGCATGTACCGCATGAGAACAGACTTCCTCTACTTCAAACATAATATCTACATATCAAACGAATTGTCAGGGCAAGCCGTTATTGTTGCAGGGTGTCGCATTCGGTCACAACTGAGAACCATGGTGTGAAAAGTAGCACGTCGTCCGCTAATTGCACCGAGAGGCCGTGCGTATTGACACTGATAGTAAGATATGTTTTGCCATTAACTAAAGAGCCAAAACAGGAAATAACTTGCATGCTAAGAATATATGAAATAATACAATTATGATTGTTTACGTGTTGTCAATGTTTTAGGAGGTTTAAGTGTTTCTACGAGTGAAGATTTGAAAGTAGTAGAAACTTTACTAGAAGCAATGTAAACGTGTGGTGACAATACCCGTGTCCTGTGTTGAACTCTATGTTTTGCTTCATTGTAAAATTCTACTGTATCCTTTACCATGCAAATTTTCGGAGGATTCGGTTTTAAATATTTCGTTCACTTGTATATGATACTCTGACCATTTCATGCCAAATATCATTTTGTTTTATTAAATTATACTCCTATGCTCATCGGGTCTCGTTAGCTGTTATATTGTAGCTTGTCTTTTATTTAAAATTTATTATGAATAAGTCAACTTGCAAAAAAAAAAAAAAAAAAAATTAAAAAAAAAGCAAAAAAGTTATACACAAAAAAGAAAATGCTGGTTGCTTTTGTGCCGTGTCAATTCAATTACCAATAACATATAAAAGCATGGTTCATTCGTTTATACGGACAAAAGAGTTCAACTAATATAAAATGAGTAAATTCTGTGATAAAGCGAGACCTCCAAATGTTAATACAGGCCTGAAAAGAGTAATTTGTTGTCAAAGTTTTAATATCGAAGGTCAAAAATGTACAGCAATACAAATGAATATGAAAGTAAAGGACCAATTTTGTGTATTTTCTCTTTAATAGCCCTTGTACAAATGCAGTATTTTTGCACCAAATTGAACACAAATGGCTCGACCAAACATGGCGCTTTCGGAAATTTTCTTTGCTTTTTTTCTTGCTATCTAGTGTAATGCATAACTTTTATACAAGACTCACTTCTGTTGACGACAAAATATTTGCACCTGCGCTTGTCAGCTTTTAAAAGGGTAAGGAATGCGGTAAAATCCTTGTTTGATGCCGCTGCATAAAGAAGCGGTATGTAATGTATGCTTGTTTTCCAGTGGTTGCTATGACGATAAAAAGTGTCGAAACCGGTTTATTGAAAAAATAGAGGATCCAGCAATAAAGCGAGGTATTAAGGTTCGGCTACATTTTAAAAATCTAATATTTATGTGATTATCAACATTCCCCCTAAATGATCTCTGTACGTAGGGGGAAAATATAATGCTATATTAGCTTATTAGAGTACATGCTCTAGTCATCGAGGAGGTGGTAAACATACTCTTTGAAAGCAAGGTCAAAAAAGTATTGCTCAAGCTAGATAGCATTCATCTTATATCGGTTGCATAGAAAATAATGGCGCATGTGGGACCATGACAAACTTTGTTACCTCTGTATTGCATTTCCATCGTTTGCGCTGCCAGAGTCTGTATTTGGCAATAAGTGTTTCTTCTGTAACGGAATATGCTCAAAATGTTGCGTCAATACTTCAAATAATTTGAAGCAATACCAGACAACACTATTATCTGAACTGCAACAGAGTTTTATTGCAAGCAATCGAAATTGCAATATTTGTCAGAAGAGTGAGTTTGAATCTTTTCGGGAAATCGTCAATCGACCTATGTAGGTACAGAAGTTCTTTTTCATAGTTCTTTTTGAGTTCTTAAATGTTGGATTGCGTTTGAACCCATTGTGCTGATAGGTACGGGTTCAACTGTCCACGTTTGGGAACTGAATGTTGTAATTGTTGACATATCATTGTGAAATTCAACTGCAAAACTTTAAATACGGGTTTCATAAACATTTTCAAACATGGGTGTACCGGAATTCGTCCACAAAACACGGCTTTAATTGTGGTAACTTTTGTACCAGAGGATATTTGAGTTCGGCTCCTCGGTCTTTCATTTAGTGTTTACATGTGTTTGTGTGTGATTCTGTTCGCAGAGTTTCGGGTTTTTTTATTATGTTTTTCAAATATTTTTACAAAGTAAGTAAGTTCTCAAGGAAATCAAAGAAAACCCGGGCGGGGGGGGGGGGGTGGAAAATTATACAGCTCAGCTTTATACAGTCCATATGAAGAACTTCCTGATCACGAATAAAAAATCGAATGTGAGTTTTTACAAAAATCTTGAATATCACAGAGGTACAATGACAATATTGTTTGTATTTGCTAGTTTGTTTGTTTTATTTTAAACAAAACGTGATGAAAATTCACTTTTATTATATATCAGGAAACCTAAAGGATTTTAAGTGACAACGAAGTAAACATCTTATATGTTCGGAAAGACTTCAGACCTCTTTTAAAATATACAAATTAACAGGTCGGACAAGCAGAGTTTGCGGTTGTTGATTTTAGATTTATTTTTTGTCACCGAAGTTTTGCTTCGATTTTCTCGATTCTGTTTACATGTGAAATCACAATCTTGACATCACTGCTTTTAATAAGCGTTATAAATAACACAACCATATTTATTGAGCTAGAAATGGGTCCTGTATAGCAAAAACAGATTTCTTATATAAGCTAAGTGTCGTTAACCAAAATAAGTCGATAAAATATCTCGTTTCACTAACGAGCATTTGAACTTGCTGAACCTGCTTTTCAGATGTTGAATTCGTAATGATATGGTAGGAGTGTGTGGCAATATACATATATATCCTGTTCGTTTCCCAACTCAATTAGCTTGTAACTTTCGTACATTCACACATGAAAATAGCATGTTTCAGTGGATGACTCATAATCTGAAAATATTTTTCGGCTATCTCAAAATCTCGTCGTGATTCTACAAAGATTTTATCGTTAAGCTAGCACTTGTGAGAAATGGAGTTGTCAAATAAATAGTGCCATTAGATCGGTATATATAGTAACGCTGAGGTACACATATAGGTTTACACAGATCTGTATAGTGTGTTTGCGGATACATTATAGATAGGGTCATAGCGTAGAGTATGGTGCATTGGGTGATACATATATAAGGCCTTAACGAACAGTATACAGTACTTTTAAAAAATGTACATTCATACTGCAAAGAAATAAATATGATGCTGATATTTGAAACTCTGTTCCAATACCGCTGAAGATATCTTGAAAATAAAGACGACTAGTACGAAAATATAATTGTTCTTCATGAAATTATTATTACAGAACTTTAAATTTGAAAAGTAAAATAAGACTAGAATTAGGATAACGAAACTATATATTATGTAAAAAATAAACACGTGACTTTATGCTTCAAAGCAGTTAAAAATAATGAAACAAAATCGTTTTGATCAAATCAAAATTTAATGGACAATAGAAACCGAAGAATTTGTATCAAAAATTTAACTCTGATTTATACGAAAAATAACGTTAATGAGTAAACAGGTCATTATAATGAACAAAATTGTGTTATTCAAGTCCAATTCATTTAGCTATATCAATTATGAACAGTTCAATGGATAAACAGCACCTCAAATAGATAAAATTATACATTTCAAACTTCACAACAAAGATTATGTATGCATGTACATATCTCATTGAGTACAAACAAATACATTTGGTTTCTTTTTTTAAAAGATAAACAAGTTTTGACAGAATAAATATAACTTTGCGTTAAAACATGGTAAGAAACCAGAATCTATAAATAAGTAAGTCAATTCTTTCTTACCTTGAGTACTTGACTGTACAAGAGACAATAATCCCAAGAAAACACACAGCATAAATATGATTCCTTCACTACTTTTCCTGGAGAAGGAATAGACGTGTGCTGTCGCCATACTGGATATGTTCATTGTGTCTCGGAGCCACGGCCACTAGTCTGACTGCAGGAGAGGGCTGACGTAACCAGCACACGAGGACTTCCTTCCTGTGACCCAATCACGCCGACTTACAGTTCGCCAATTAACCGTTCCCTGTACGGGCATATGTGGATGAAGGTTTGTCTACGATTGCACACTTGCTTAACAAGCTTTAACAATAGGACTAGATATGTTACTTCCAACAAGCCATCATTGTTTTAGGTCGTTGTTTTTTTTTCTAATTCACTGACGCTTCAGAAACTTAAAACAATTCTTCATGGTAGCTGAAGTCAAATTAAGGTCAATTTTTAAATCAATTTGACATGGCACTTCGGGTGAGATTCAGAGCAAGATTTTTCTAGGTCAAATTACCTTGAAGAGTAATATTGGCTTTGTATAGACTAGTCCTTGTTTGAACTCGCATTTCTGTTAAGACAGTCCAAAGGCAGGAACACAAACCGGTCTCTATAAACAGGTAGTCTTTCATTGTGTTTTTAATTATGTAGACGTAGGAAACATAACTTGTGGGTTATTAAGTTAGGAAGGGGTGTTTTTTCATGTATTCTCACCATCTTTACAGTGCTGCTTTTCTATGAGTGACATGACAGTCTTGTGTGTTATTGGGGATGTGCATAGGGAATATCATTTAATGCAGCCTGTAGTAGTAATAACCATACATCAGTACGTTTTGTATGTTACATTTATATCCTGATTGTCGTATTCATTTTTGACGAGATATTTCGTCGATATCATACTTCAAAATTGCATTATTTTTATTTCTATAAGTCGACACGCGATTTCACTAAAAACAGTGTTAAAGTTATAGTGATGTAAAAAGGGAAATTGTATATTTCGCAACAAAAGTAAATTTTGTTATTTGGAAACACAAGTTCATAATTGACATGAAAAACTAATAAAAGGATTGAAGCGAGATATTTGACTCTCAATCTTCTACATTACCACGTCATACATTTCCTTTGTTTAAGTTTTAGCGGTTTTTATTTCGAACGACGGTTTTGTTTACATTTCGATATTCTCTGGTTATTTTAAAATACTTTAAGCTGATGCACGTGGCAATTGGCAACACAAGGAAGTACACTTTTGAATTGATTAGAAAGGCCAAAGAGGGTATTACACCAATGCCATAAATTTCCCTTTCGTTTCACGGAAAGATAGTATATCTTTTTTTACAATAAAACAATCAAACTTTCACCCTGTCAAGTATTTGCAAGGTTCAGGTTACAATTTGCTTGACAAGAATCATTCGTTTTTAACAAGGAAGAATGCACTGTCGCAGATGTCCATAAAATCACCTTTTATCAAGAAGAAAAGAGTTCCACTTGTAATGTGATGCAAGTCGTCCTCTATGATGACAGTAAATTCCTTACGTCTATCTGTAATGTTTCATGTTGATGATAATTGCTAGTAAAGTATTAGAAAACATGTTGAGTGTGTGTTTGCACTAAAAACCACCTGTTATAATGATGACAGTATGTATACAATGAGAAAGTATATGACAGTACGTGTTAACAATGAGAGACAAAATGTGATAATGATGACGGTATGTGTTAACAATGAGAGAGTGAATGTAATAATGACGACATTATGTGTTAACAATGAGAGAGTAAACGTAATAATGCTGACAGCATGTGTTAATAATGGGAGAGTTAGTGTAATAGTGATGACGGTATGTGTTAACAATGAGACGGTAAGTGCTAGCAATGAGAAAGTAAATGTTATAATGATTATAGTATGTGTTAACAATGGGAGAGTAAGCGTAATAATGATGACGGTAAGTGCTAGCAATGAGAGAGTAAATGTAATAATGATGACGGTATGTGTTAACAATGAGAGAGTAAATGTTATAATTATGACAATATGTGTTAACAATGACAGAGTAAGTGTAATAATGATGACGGTAAGTGCTAGCAATGAGAAAGTAAATGTTATAATGATGATAGTATGTGTTAACAATGGGAGAGTAAGTGTAATAATGATGACGGTAAGTGCTAGCACTGAGACAGTAAATGTACTAATAATGATGACGGTATGTGTTAACAATGAGAGAGTAAATGTAATAATGATGACAGTATGTGTTAACAATGAGAGAGTAAACGTAATAATGCTGACAGCATGTGTTAATAATGGGAGAGTTAGTGTAATAATGATGACGGTATGTGTTAACAATGAGAGAGCAAATGTAATAATGATGACAGTATGTATTAACAATGAGAGAGTAAACGTTATAATGATGACAGAATGTGTTAACAATGGGAGAATAAGTGTAATAATGATGACGGTAAGTGCTAGCACTGAGACAGTAAATGTACTAATAATGATGACGGTATGTGTTAACAATGAGAGAGTAAATGTAATAATGATGACAGTATGTGTTAACAATGAGAGAGTAAATACAATAATAATGACAGAATGTGTTAACAATGGGAGAGTAAGTGTAATGATGATGACGGTAAGTGCTAGCAATGAGAAAGTAAATGTATTAATAATGACAATATGTGTTAACAATGAGAGAGTAAACGTAATAATGATGACGGCATGTGTTAACAATGAGAAAGTAAATGTTATAATAATGACAGAATGTGTTAACAATGGGAGAGTTAGTGTAATAATGATAACGGTAAGTGCTAGCAATAAAAGAGTAAATGTAATAATGATTACAGTATGTGTTAACAATGAGAAAGTAAATGTAATAATAATGACAAAATGTGTTAACAATGGGAAAGTTAGTGTAATAATGATGACGGTAAGTGCTAGCCATGAGAGAGAAAATGTAATAATGATGACAGTATGTGTTAACAATGAGAGAGTAAATGCAATAATGATGACGGTAAGTGCTAGCAATGAGAGAGAAAATGTAATAATGATGACGGTATGTGTTACCAATGAGAGCGTAAATGTAATAATAATGACAGAATGTGTTAACAATCGGAGAGTTAGTGTAATAATAATGACCGAAAGTCCTAGCAATGAGAAAGTAAATGTACTAATAATGACAATATGTGTTAACAATGAGAGAGTAAACGTAATAATGATGAGGGTAAGTGTTAACAATGAGAGAGTAAATGTAAAAAATGATGACAGAATGTGTTAACAATGGGAGAGTAAGTGTAATGATGATGACGGTAAGTGCTAGCAATGAGAGAGTAAATTTAATAATGATGACGGTATGTGTTAACAACGAGAGAGTAAATGCAATAATGATGACGGTAAGTGTTAACAATGAGAAAGTAAATGTAATAATAATGACAAAATGTGTTAACAATGGGAGAGTTGGTGTAATAATGATGACAGTATGTGTTAACAATGAGAAAGTAAATGTTATAATAATGACAGAATGTGTTAACAATGGGAGAGAAAATGTAATAATGATGACGGTATGTGTTAACAATGAAAGAGTAAGTGTAATAATGATGACGGTATGTGTTAACAACGAGAGAGTAAATGCAATAATGATGACGGTAAGTGCTAGCAATGAGAGAGTAAATGTAATAATGATGACGGTAAGTACTAGCAATGAGAAAGTAAATGTACCAATAATGAAAATATGTGTTAACAATGAGAGAGCAATGAGAGAGAAAATGTAATAATGATGACGGTATGTATGTATTAATAATGACAATATGTGTTAACAATGAGAGAGTAAACGTAATAATGATGAGGGTAAGTGTTAACAATGAGAGAGTAAATGTAAAAAATGATGACAGAATGTGTTAACAATGGGAGAGTTCGTGTAATAATGATAACGGTAAGTGCTAGCAATAAAAGAGTAAATGTAATAACGATGACAGAATGTGTTAACAATGGGAGAGAAAATGTAATAATGATGACGGTATGTGTTACCAATGAGAGCGTAAATGTAATAATAATGACAGAATGTGTTAACAATGGGAGAGATAGTGTTATAATGATAACGGTAAGTGCTAGCAATAAAAGAGTAAATGTAATAACGATGACAGAATGTGTTAACAATGGGAGAGAAAATGTAATAATGATGACGGTATGTATGTATTAATAATGACAATATGTGTTAACAATGAGAGAGTAAACGTAATAATGCTGACAGTATGTGTTAATAATGGGAGAGTTAGTGTAATAATGATGACAGTATGTGTTAACAATGAGAGAGTAAACGTAATAATGATGACGGTAAGTGTTAACAATGAGAGAGTAAATGTAATAATGATGACGGTAAGTGTTAACAATGAGAAAGTAAATGTAATAATGATGACGGTAAGTGCTAGCAATGAGAAAGTAAATGTACTAATAATGAAAATATGTGTTAACAATGAGAGAGTAAACGTAATAATGATGACGGTATGTGTTAACAATGAGGGAGAAAATGTAATAATGATGACGGTATGTGTTAACAGTGAGAAAGTAAATGTAATAATGATGACGGTAAGTGCTAGCAATGAGAGAGTAAATGTAATAATGATGACGGTATGTGTTAACAATGAGAGAGTAAATGCAATAATGATGACGGTAAGTGCTAGCAATAAAAGAGTAAATGTAATAACGATGACAGAATGTGTTAACAATGGGAGAGTTAGTGTAATAATGATGACGGTATGTGTTAACAATGAGAGAGAAAATGTAATAATGATGACGGTATGTGTTAACAATGAGAGAGTTAATGCAATAATGATGACGGTAAGTGCTAGCAATGAGAGAGTAAATGTAATAATATTGAGAGAATGTGTAAACAATGGGAGAGTTAGTGTAATAATGATGACGGTATGTGTTAACAATGAGAGAGTAAATGTAATAATATTGACAGAATGTGTAAACAATGGGAGAGTTAGTGTAATAATGATGACGGTAAGTCCTAGCAATAAGAGAGTAAATGTAATAATGATGACGGTATGTGTTAACAATGAGAGAGTAAATGTAATAATAATGACAGAATGTGTTAACAATCGGAGAGTTAGTGTAATAATAATGACCGAAAGTCCTAGCAATGAGAAAGTAAATGTACTAACAATGATGATGGTATGTGTTTACGATTAGAGAGTAAATGTAATAATGATGACGGTATGTGTTAACAATGAGAGAGGAAATGCAATAATGATGACGGTAAGTGCTAGCAATGAGACAGTAAATGTACTAATAATGATGACGGTATGTGTTAACAATGAGAGAGAAAATGTAATAATGATGACGGTATGTGTTAACAATGACAGAGTAAATGTTATAATTATGACAATATGTGTTATCAATGAGACAGTAAATGTAATAATGATGACAGTATGTGTAATAATGGAAAAGTACCAAAGTAAGAGAGTTATAGGCACAAAAATACCTTTACTGATGACTGTGTAATAATAATGACAATATGTGTTAACAATGAGAGAGTAAATGTAATAATAATGACAGAATGTGTTAACAATCGGAGAGTTAGTGTAATAATAATGACCGAACGTCCTAGCAATGAGAAAGTAAATGTACTAACAATGATGATGGTATGTGTTTACGATTAGTAATAATGATGACGGTATGTGTTAACAATGAGAGAGGAAATGCAATAATGATGACGGTAAGTGCTAGCAATGAGGCAGTAAATGTACTAATAATGATGACGGTATGTGTTAACAATGACAGAGTAAATGTTATAATTATGACAATATGTGTTATCAATGAGACAGTAAATGTAATAATGATGACAGTATGTGTAATAATGGAAAAGTACCAAAGTAAGAGAGTTATAGGCACAAAAATACCTTTACTGATGACTGTGTAATAATAATGACAATATGTGTTAACAATGAGAGAGTAAATGTAATAATGATGACGGTATGCGTTAACAATGAGAGAGCAAATGAAATAATGATGACGGTAAGTGCTAGCAATGAGGCAGTAAATGTACTAATAATGATGACGGTATGTGTTAACAATGAAAGAGTAAGTGTAATAATGATGACGGTAAGTGCTAGCAATGAGACAGTAAATGTACTAATAATGATGACGGTATGTGTTAACAATGAGAGAGGAAATGCAATAATGATGACGGTAAGTGCTAGCAATGAGGCAGTAAATGTACTAATAATGATGACGGTATGTGTTAACAATGAGAGAGTAAATGTAAAAAATGATGACAGAATGTGTTAACAATGGGAGAGTAAATGTAATAATGATGACGGTAAGTGCTAGCAATGAGACAGTAAATGTACTAATAATGATGACGGTATGTGTTAACAATGAGAGAGTTAATGTAATAATGATGACAGTATGTGTTAACAATGAGAGTTAATGTAATAATGATGACGGTATGTGTTAACAATGAGAGAGTAAATGTAATAATGATAACGGTATGTGTTAACAATGAAAGAGTAAGTGCAATAATGATGACGGTAAGTGCTAGCAATGAGACAGTAAATGTACTAATAATGATGACGGTATGTGTTAACAATGACAGAGTAAATGTTATAATGATGACAATATGTGTTATCAATGAGACAGTAAATGTAATAATGATGACAGTATGTGTAATAATGGAAAAGTACCAAAGTAAGAGAGTTATAGGCACAAAAATACCTTTACTGATGACTGTGTAATAATAATGACAATATGTGTTAACAATGAGAGAGTAAATGTAATAATGATGACAGTATGTGTTAACAATGAGACTGTAATTATGAGAATATGTGATTTCATGAGAGTACGTGTTATATTGATGAGAATGTTTGTAGACAATGAGAAAAGTTTTTATTATAATTATGTAAGCATGAGTGCAATGAGAGACTACCATTAATAATTAAGGCAGTATATAGTTAGAAGAAAAACATGTAATAATGATGTGAATACAAATAGAAAGTATTTGTAAAAGCAACGAGATGCTCACTAGCATAAAACCTGGTTTATTATCTTTCCATTTGTTGGAAGTTTTGCTTGAATATTGTTTTCTTGGTAGGTATCAATTGGGTTTGGTTATAGAAAGTTCGTTTTGTCAGAGATCCATGACTGAACCAAGTACAAAAACGTAAAACAAGCACTAACAAGTTAAATAGATAAGAAGAGCATGTAAATATGACAACCTATCAGACGAAATTAGACAATAAATTACAGAAAAGTGCTACTATTGGACTCAATACTCCTAGCTACAGAGGCAAGTAAGGGTGTGCCCACTCATTATTCAACAAGGTGGATATTACTAACATTGAATATATTAATTGAGCAGCTTTTTTTCTTACATTGTAGCTATCGAGTCAACATATTTATGGCTTAATTTATTTTATTTGTATTGTTCCTATTTGAGGTGGTGTGTTAGCCGACGTAGGTGGTGAATGGATAATGTAGACAATAGACAAGTGCACTCTTGATATAGATAAAAGTTAACTCTTGAAGTAGTTAGTTTCTAAGTAATACTTAAGAGGACCACGTGAGGTTGCTTCGTAGTACACACTTTGTGTCACTTTACTACAGAACACGTGTTTCACCTGTGTTGTTGTGCATGTATTCACGTGTCGCAGTTTTGTTTTGTCGTCATAGGGTGTTGAACTTCAGTCAATAGCTTTTTACGTATAACGTTTTTGAAAGATACGTATTTTATTCAAAACAGACCATAGCGTAAACAAATAATAGCAATAACAAAATACACCATAGCGTCAACATACAGGATAAAATAATCCACAACGTCAGCACACAATGATATAAAAATACATTGCAGTAAATATACCAAAGCTTAAGCACACAGGGACACAGAAAAAATAATAAACCATAACGTCAGCAAACAGGGACAAAACGTGCCACACGACGTCAACACACAGGACAAAATAAGCCATAGCTTCATCACACAGGGACAAAATATACCACAGTGTCAGCACACAGTAAAAAACACACAATACACAATGATATCAAATATCATAGCGTCTATGCACAGCGGCAACTATACAAGAGCTTTGGCCTACAGACTACCAAACAGGGGGAAATGTCCCATAGCGTTAACGCAAAACGGTTAAACAGATCACAGCGCCAACATGCAATTACAGAGCATACGTCTTCAACATACAGGACAGAGTATAGACCAGCGTTAACACACAATGACAAAATATCTCCTAGAGTTAACTAAAACGAACAAAATATATCACAGCGTCATTACAGAGCATACGTCTTCAACATACAGGACAGAGTATTGACCAGCGTTAACACACAATGACAAAATATCTCCTAGAGTAAACTAAAACGAACAAAATATATCACAGCGTCAACACACAAAGGGAAAAATGGGAACTACTACTCGACACTCAAAAGTCTTAAAAGAAACAGAAGATTCACCAAGGTAAATGGAAAAGCATGAGACTCACAAATATAAGAAGGTTAAATCAAGTGCTCCGACAGGATAGGACTCCTGTTTTATTAGGGTACAGAGTAAAGTATTTCCGGTTACATGTATATATGTAGATTGCTTAAAATTGTAACTGCTTTGTATTCGAATGCATTTCATAACATCATTGCCTTGATGAGATTTAGACATGTTTTTCCTGCTTGTTTAAATTTTCAAAAACTGTATGTCAATTCAATGCCCAAGATCTGTTTTCTCACTTAATAAGCAAATTATTGATAAATGTTTTCACACTAGCTACACAAAAGATAAAAGTATAGATATAGATATATATTTTTCGTGTATTCGTTCATATTAGTGTTTATGATGATGATTCACGATAATTTGTCTCTTTTTGTCTTATTAAAGTGTATTGTAGCTGATGCAAATAAAATAACAACCAGTAATCAAGGTATTATTCACCGAGTTTATTGACATTAATAACATGTATACTCCATATAAACTATCCAGGCTCACCTAAGTTAAAAATTGTTGAAACCGGCTGTTATTCTGAAAGTAAAAAACCAGAAAGTCATCAAACGTATTTACAAGGACATTGTAACAGTATAAATTAAAAGGACCTTGGTGTATTAGACATACTGGAAAATTTGCTCTTTTTTTCAAAACATGTCATTGTCTTTTGTATTTCAGGAGCGTAACAAATAAGAACTAAGATCCAACATGAAAGACCTGGGCCCGTATTCATAAAACCGTTCTCATGCTAAAGTATGGATTTCGTGCTCAAGTCTAATTTCTTGTTCTTGTAAGAATTAATAAACAAATCTTATTTTGTCAATGACTTATTTAAAACAAATTAAGGAGACGTAAAACTGAATACTGTTTTCAATGTTTACATTTGACTTTTTGATTGTTTGACATGATTTAAGTGTATTAAAAGAAAGTTGGTTTGAGCACAGAATCCATGCTTGAGCATGAATACAGGCCCTGCTCACAAAAGGTCACAAAAATAAAAAATCATTTTAAGGGAACAACATAGAGATTAAATAGCTTACAAAAATACTCACGACAGTACGGAGAGTGACCGTTAGTTGTCAAGAAGAACGTCCCTGTCCTATTGGCCAGGAAAGAGTCGTACCCCATGACGGGACATGGTCCAGAGCCGCACCCTGGACATCTGCCTGCTACGTAGTCATCGTAGGAGGAGCAAGGGTGTGCGGTAAACTTACAGGGCCCTTGAAGTAGAGATTCCGTAAACAATCCCTCAGCTCGTTCGTGACTGCACGCCACCGACTCGAACGCATCTAAACAAGCGCAAAGAAACCATAAAGAAACACATATGGTATATGACTGCAAATAATAGGGGCAGTTCCATAATCGAACTTTGAACTATGTGCTCTAGGATGAAATTATTGGAACAGAAATAAAATAAACACCTAAGGCACGAAAACAATGATTTCCATTAAACTAAAATTATGCAGAATCCAAAGGATGTTGCACCTTCACTTTCAACTCTTGTTTAAAGAAACTAGAGACTATTTTATCACATTGTTTATACGTATTAATTTAAACATACCAAACATTTCTGATAATGAATCTTATTTATACATTCGTAAATAGATGTGCGATAAGATAATAAGTATGTCAAACTAATAAGAATTTGATCGTACTCTCATTAAAACCCTAATCCTCGTAAGAAACCATGGCAATATTGCACGTACGCATTGTCAACGGTCGGTGTTACAAGTTATGCTAACTTAATTTTGTCTTCCTGAACGAGTACTTATTTTTCCCTGTGATGTCTAATTTGCAGGCAGGTAAGCTGGGGTCGTAAAACAATGTCACAAAATATTGTAAATAAATAAGATTCTCATTAGTTTGCCAATCTGTGAAATAGCCATACCGGACGATTTCATGTAATGCAACGTACCCCTGTCATACAAGTGATCTGATGCCAGTTATACCATTGTGATGAATGCGACCCGAATTACTCAATGATAACAGGTTAAACAAAATAATATTTTGAAACTAGAAAATTAATTTATTGTATTTATTTTGTTGCTTGTATGTCTTTCATTAAAAATCAATCGTACTTTTTATCAGTTTGTCTCATCTCATTATCCTCAATAGTGTCTTTGTAAAAAAAACTCCGTTTTTTCTTAGACAGTCAACCGAAAATGACTGGGCGATGGGGTGGCGCAGTGGATAACGCGCTTGCCTTTCACCAAGATGGCCGTGGTTTGATTCCTCGATCGCACCTGCACGACACGTGGGTTTTCTCCGGGTACTCCGGTTCCCTCCCACATTAAGACCCCCTGCGAGCTTACATCCGGACCAACAAGAGTGATTAATATAAGTTAGATAACTTGTTTCATAATTGCTGTAAAAAAATGAAAATCTGCAATGTGAAAACCAGGGGAAAATTATCACTCTTTAAACTCCTTTAACGAACACTGAATGGTGTACCTGCTGTCTGTGAGCTTCAGCGTAATCTTATGAATTCATAGGAGTCCTCTATCACACTTATTTCTCACAGAAAACAATACGCGGGTCAAGGATGTGCCAGGAGAGAACTAGGCGTTTGACACTTTTAACGGATATATTCTACACTTTATCTGACGTCGACGTGTACCAAGCTACAACAGGAAACGCGCGTAGATAGGCCTGGCGGTGAGTGAGGTGTCATATGCGATGGTGGGACGAGGCAGTGCACTGTAACCGTGCCGAACTCCAGAGATTATTCTAGCATGAAATATTTATAATGTTTCTGTTTAAATGTAGAATAATGTATATATCATATTCATAACTTTTATCAATTACCATTTTCACTGTTTTTGAAAGTGTATTAACCAAAAATGAATAAATAAATTAAAAAAAAAAAAAAAAAAAAAAAAAGGTTATATATATACCTGTTAAAAGGATATATATGAACAGCGAAAACAATCTTTATTAAAATGGCTACATAGCAGTGTGTGCAATAATAAACAAATGTCTTAGTCTTATAAAAATCTTTCCTCTGTTTTTGAAATTCAATGTTTTACATTTTTATGCACTTTCTAGCATACGATTCATTAGGAAGCAGTGGATCTTTCAAAACTTGATAAATAAGCACATTTTCTAAATTAGAATAATTTTAGACCCTATTTTCAACAACCAGAAAAAAACCTTCTATACTTAAAGTAACAAAATAAAACGACGGATTGAAAGATATTTAAACATACGTAGAAAGCTCAATTAAAAAACACGATTAAAATGTTTGTGAAACCGATTATGTTGTTTATCTTCAACATACATCAACTAACACTGAAACCGGACCTCTTGTTTTAGGGAGATGAATGAATAGATAAACATACAGACATTGTTCCAGTACGGATATAGATATTTAGATATATAACACAAGTGCTTATGATATTATATATAATTTTCATATCAAAGTACCCTTCTCATTAAAACTCTTTACTGCAAATCTGTACTGTAAACGTGGTAAACACTGTTTGTGCACTGGATTTAGCACCGTTACACACTAGAGTTAATACCATAGTGAACTTAAATACTCTACAATGTCTTGACAAGTGCACTACCTTGTTCACTATTTGTGTGCTACAAAGTGCACTAGCTACCAATTCCAGTTTGCTCCCAACTGTAATGGTGTCACAGTAACACCATGGACGTATATGTGATATATATATATATCTTGTAACACACAGTTTTAATTGAGACAATTGTGAATTAAGATTTAGCTGTTAATGTCATTGTCAAATGTCATTTACGATACCTCCTTATGAATAAGCAGGTACACTTATTAAAGTAGTGTACCTGAAGGTCTTACCTATAAATACTATGTCAAAAGAGCATTTATAATCGATGATGTACCGACGCGTTTCACATCTTCCTTATTGTTAAAAGAAAGACTGTTGTTGACAGGATTTCAGTTAATTTCAAATAACCTTAACTGTATTTAACAGGTTTATTTATGAATTATGAAATTTCATTATTTTTCAGTAATGGTTGTGCTGATATTACATTTACTGATTTGTCTAATATATCAACATGAAAACAATTATTTCGTAGTTTTTAACAAAAATGTAACTTCAGGGGCATATCCAAGATTTTGTGATGAGTGATGGGACACTACTTTCATAATAAACCTTTTCAAATTTATCACATACGGTTGAGAGGATGGTGCATGATTTACATTTATTTTTTTTTTGAGGATGTGCTATGAAGGATTTTGGTATGGAGACACTAATGCTTTAAGCTCATGTTTGCTAATATTGTTTGATCTAACTTTATAAAACATCACGATAATTTAGGTTTTTTGGGTTGTTTTTTTTTATATTTGCTACTACGGTTGGAGCACTATTGTTTCAAACAGACCGTGCACAGACTAATCCTTGTTGGAGTTGGAAGCACAGACAACAAGATTTTCCATACCTATAGGTATTATTACTAAACAGTTCGTAGCATAGTGTCAAAATCGTACTTAAGTTGCCCATCATCGGCGAAAATGTTTTGAAAGTAAACTGTGTGTCATAGATTATTAAACTGTATTTCAGGTGCTCGGTTATTTGGGGACAAAGTACTATTATTACCAAACCTTGCGCCGTGGATCGCCATATTGGCCTACAGCTGGTCCATTAAGAGAAGCAATACATTATTACGTTTACCGTTTGTCGTTGACTTTAAAATTGACCTTTATTTGAAAACCCATCACAACTAAAATGTGTGTTGTGGGCAATTAAACTGTCCTTTATTTGCACCGTTACCAGGGGATATTGCATGATAACTAAACTGTTAGCCGTGGACCGTCAAGCAATTAAAGTTGTTTCAACTAAAAGAAACCTTGGAATTTAATGTTGAAGCATAGGTCTATTCTATTGTGCTTCTTGACATTGCTATATTGTTATCAAAATGTATTATCAAGCATTTAGCCAATTAAGCTTGAATTAGTCAGAATAAAAACTAAATAAAAAAAACTAATTGACGTTTGTATACTTGTCATAGCGATGCGGTTAGACATGAAAAGTCTTTATCAGGAATAAAGAAGTCGGACTGAATTAAGTAGTTCAAGTCTGTCCAAGCTATCCATGTCGGTCGGCAGAGGAAAACCCCTATATCCGGCTGCTAGTCCACCCCCGTAACTGTACTGTCGGGGCATGCTACTTCAGAAGATCCCACTTAAAAGGTCATGGTCATTAATGGACCATCAGGATAAGAATGGAGTGGTTTTGTTGGAAGTAGTCGACTTTGTGAATGGGATTGGGATCATGATCGAGGGAGGGGGAGTACTTCAATTGTGTAGTAATATGGATTTATGGACGTACGTATACAATTTTAAGTGATGGTCTGGTCAAATGTACTTACACAAGTTCATATTATGTGTACAGATAAGCATCATGGGAACTTGTGTATAAATGGCCGTTCCGACGGAATCTTGTTATTTGTGTTGTACAGGAGGAGATTCCCTGATAATATGTACGAGTGAAGATTTATCTTGACCGAGGTGTCCTGACCTGACCGTGGCCTTAACTGGTGTATTATACAAGATGATTATAAATTAAGTCTCGCCAAACAAAGCTTAATTCTTAGCGGCAGGTCTTGATTACGCTGTTAGCAAATTGTTTCATTTGGACATCAGGAATATTTATGACTATTTATGACGACGAGATACCAACTATCTCGCCACACTGTGAGTCATTTGACTGAATGCAAGCAATCACAACGCCAGATTCTTACTAAAGTTGAACGACATATCGACAGGAATCTCCGACTATAAATAACTGTGAAGAGAATACGTACTTGTGAAAGCCATGGTTAGCAGCTGCTCAAGTGTTGTACTGACAGGGGGTGGACATCCGGGCTGTTCATTTAGTCCATTCGGATAGAAATCGATGTGGCCACACGGACTTTTCATCCCAAATCCTAAAACACAATATCGGGAGACAAACATGCTTTAATCCCCAGTATGGCAAAAGTGAAAGGGAACACTTTTATTCTAAGTAACTTGTTATTTAGCTGTTTTGACAATGTGCCCTTTGTTGATCATGCGATAAAACACATTGGTGCAACTGTTAGATAACATCCACGAATAGAAATAAATACAATTAATTATAAGTAATAGAATGTAGTCCTAAGCACGTCATATCGCTAATGATGAGGCGGCACTTTTTGTCTTGATACGGAATTGCCAATCACAGTATACAGCAAGAATACTTTTATTCATTATTAAAACAAAACAAATCAATACAAGATTTGGTCCTTACTTAAGAGGTTTATTATTGTATTGGCTATATTACAATCAATACAAAGAATGGAATGATAAACACTTGTAAAGAACAGCCTTGATTCTTTAGGGCCTTCGTTGGCAGCAAAAACGGCAGCACTACGAGAGACGGCTAGATTACTGGAACCATTTCTAATAGAAAGCCAGTCAATCCGCTCCCTTCAACATTGGATGAATAATGGACAACCGATTTACAAATGGTGGCTGGAAAGTGAGACAACCGGGAAGGTGGAGGCTGAAGAGTGAGACAACCGGGTAGGTGGAGGCTGGAGAGTGAGGCAACCGGGTAGGTGGAGGCTGGAGAGTGAGACAACCGGGTAGGTGGAGGCTGGAGAGTGAGACAACCGGGTAGGTGGAGGCTGGAGAGTGAGACAACCGGGTAGGTGGAGGCTGGATAGTGGGACAACCGGGTAGGTGGAGGCTGGATAGTGGGACAACCGGGTAGGTGAAGGCTGGATAGTGGGACAACTGGGTAGGTGAAGGCTGGATAAGCGGGACTTGACAGTAGTATTGTTAATGGTCCATTGGACCCGAATATGCTTTAGAACCCGGGGTTCATCTTTAAGTGTTTATCCTAGCTGGCATGAAAATATCAAGTTTGGTTGTTGTGGTGTATTTTATATCTATATAATACACGAGGAAGATTTTGAACTTAACTGTGGACTTTGGTCGTCTGACACTTACTTGTGTTGCAGACAAGGTAAATATTTACTGTACGAAGTATAATGCACAATACACAGTCTAAATGAGCGCGGGTTCTTTAAGTATGTTAGACAAGGACGTGCTTGCGCTGATAACCTTCAACTACAAATTATGACTAGTTTGCATTTTATCTTGATCTTTGAAATTGTCCATAAAATCAAACTTACATATAATTAAGGTGAAGAGATTTAGAGGAGGCAAAAACACGACGCATATTCTTTTATTTGGACACGTCTTTGTTGTTTTTTGTCATGTACTCATGTGTCATGTGACATGTTTCATATTATGTTTCGTCAGATTGAAAACAAAGGATAAACTATGCAATTAATTTGATTTACCGGCGTCGTGGATTGGTACAGCATCTGTGTGAATGACGTCAACATATAAAGCGTCTGTAGGATCAAGACGAACTTCCGGTGCATAGTCTTCAAACAGAGGCCCGGCGGGATCCAAACCTATAGAAAACGATGACATGCATGGTTCATGAATACTTCGACATATAGAGAAATTAAGTTTCGTTCCACCTCATTATGTCATTTAAAAATACATCATTCCGATTCAAAATAACAAATGATGTTGATTTTCTTAATTAACGAAATACTTTAAAGTATACCGGTAATTCTGCCAAGGCCTGGAATTCTATTGCCGATATACCCAGCAGTCTGCGCGCCGAGGCTATGTCCGGTCACGTGAGTCTTCGTCATATCTGCATTAAACGTGTCCCGTAATCTCGCCAGAAGCTGAGCACAAAGCGCCCCCACTACCCTGGTGTTGGAGACAGATTGCTGGTACATTTTACTTGCACCGACCTTCCAGTCCACCGCGATCACATTGAAATCGCCCTACAAGAAAGATGAACTAGAGACACAATCATATGATTGCACTATAAAATATTATAATAGATACAGTATGCAAAAATTGAATAACACTGCTGCACATTGTTGTTTTGTCATTCTAGGACTCATAGATGATACTAGGGACCAAATAAGTGGGAATCAAAACTGGTCTTAACTTCTGTCGAAACAGAAAGGGGTGCAGAAAACCCTTTCCAAATTAGAATTTTAAAAATTAGAGGAGTGCTGATTAATTTCAAATTTATTATGTGTTAATTATTATATCATGAACTCTGCCCCTTCTCAAAAGTGGCAACTGTGGCAATCAAGGTTACGGCAAACCTCGGGGACTAACTATACCACCACACAAAGTTACGGCAAACCTCGGGGACCAACTATACTACCACACAAGGTTACGGCAAACCTCGGGGACTAACCATACCACCACACAAGGTTACGGCAAACCTCGGGGACTAACTATACCACCACACAAGGCTACGGCAAACCTCGGGGACTGACAATCTCACCAGCAGACTTCACAACTGTCTGAACAAAGGACAACTACATGTGATCGAACCTTTAACATTTAGTAATCAATGTAATGTGTCAATAGTTAATTACACTGCATCATAGAGCCCTTCTGTCCTCCTTCTAGGACTCATCGGTGAAAATACGAAATCAAATTAGATACGTAGACCGATTATGAAAATGCTCAATCTTTTTTTGTTATTTTTAATAAGCTGTTGATATATTAATGTTTCTGTTATGATTTTTGATTCTTTACAGCTATTTTTTTCACAAACCGAACATGTCAGTGTGTTTAATGTGATATTGAATAGAAAGTATACGTCAGTTTTGAAAGTGTTAAATTGGAACAGCATAATATTATCGTTGTTATTAAAACCATACGATAGCTCCATACCCTTGACAAGAATGCGTTGGTCATATTGTGTACCCAGACTTCGTAAGCACTGCTCATGTACCCGTGGATGATCATCTTGGTTGGCTTGTTTCCGGTGAAACCGGAAGTACGAATGATATTGACATTGGTGTCCTTGTAATCGAATTTGACACCATTAGCTGGTCCTCCTCTCATGAAAAATGTGAAGGTGACATCCACTTCCTCGGGTGATTCCGGGAGTGCTTCGAGAGAGTTGTCAAAGGGTTTGTGATTGGAGAAGCAATCCACATTTTCGTAGCAAACTTGAGTTTTGAAAAGAAAACCTGCAATGCAACAGTTTTAATTATATCTTGATTGTCGCAGTTCAATCATGTTTTGATAGGTTTACTTAATTAATGAACACCCCTGAAGATTCAGTCACAACCGAAAGATAAAGCATGTGAACGTTGAAACTATCTACAGCTGTATATTGAATTGATGACAATACTAATTCCTTTATTATATGTTCTGCCCATTTCAGTGCTACTGAAATCATATGACAATAATAATCATTCGAGGTTCTTATACACCGCTTTATCACAATCTAGTTCGTAGGTCGTCTCAAAGCGGTTCACAAATTAGTATCTGTGGTTATAGGTCATTTGCAACCAACCAATATATTGCTTAACTCCCTGGGGAGCATACAGCCGGTGCTGCCATTTCGGGCGTCACAGAAAGCAATCTACAATTCTAGCACTGCCCAACCACGCACTTATTTTACAGCTGAGTAGACAGCAATAATCGGAATAAAAAATCTTGCTCAAAGATACAACACAGTGCCGTGCCGTGACTCTAACCCGCAACTCTTCGGTCACGAGCCCAGCGTCCTACCACTAACCTACCGTGCCTCCAATATCAACAAACGTCCGGACAGAACCTGTGACGTGATTTTCCCAATAAAAATGCAAATTAAACTGAAAAAATAGGTTCAGATCTTGATTCATAAAACAACGTTTTCATCTTAGATTTCAAAACTTAATGGGCCTTAAACTCCGATAGTTCTGTGAAATGAAATCGTTCAAAAATCAATTAGTGATTGTCCTATCAGTAAACAAATTTTGGGGATTAAAATCCTTAATATCAAGATATCCTTTCTTTCAAAGCCGAATCGAAACATAGGTTTATTATTCATCATTAGGTCGGTAATTTTGAGTGTTTGGACAAACCTATGAAAGAAGGAACAGTTGGTAAAAACGCCCATAGCAAAACAAAGTTGAATAAAACCATTATAAGATCGATGAATCTTGTAAACTGCACAGAATACACAATCTCCAGATATCAATAGCATTGACAATAGTTGGCTCAAAATAAAACAAGGGCCTGTTGAAGATCGGGACGGACGTCAGCTATTTACGGGGATCCAATAGAATTGGCAAAACTCTTCCAATGTATTAAAAGAAATTCTTACCTGGCGAACTACGCTGTACCTTTGTTTGAAATATTCTAAGTGACTGCCAACATGCCGCTGTCATATTTTAAACGCCGAATACTTATTTCTATTGATTTTAGGTAAAATATTAAAATCACATCTTATTGTAGTTTCTATTTTCAAAACGATATGTTATAAATTGCTTCTATGTGACTTCAGACAAGATTGATAAAACATAACAGCAAGTCATTGATTTGGAAGTCCAATGCGCGTACTTTACAACAGATCGAGGCAATAAGGAGATATTTCATATATATATTGGAAAATATAGATTTCATCAAAATTACAAATTCCGTTATTCTTTTTTGAAAGACTAGAAAACAGAAACTCATACCAAGACATATCTCTGAACTGCACAACGCCAGTAAAATGAGCACCGATATCCTTCCACCTGTCATGTTGAACAGCCTTCTACTGTACTGATAAGCGGTAGAGAGGTCAATTCGGTAGGTACTGGCCTGTCCTATATTGATAGGTACCTGATAAATACAGCAAAGCAATTCATTGTTCCATATATTTGTGACACTTCCTCGCAGACCTTCAAGTCTTATTTTAAAGTGAAGATTGTATAAGTTTATTTTACTATCATCAACAACACAAATAGACGTCAAAGTCACAGTTTATGAAAAAAAAATACATTTTAAGCGTTTGCATTTCACCACGATAAAGTCTGATTTCTCAAGACTTGATATTTGACAGTTGTCCTACTTTTAGATGGCACTGATTAAAGGGAGATCATTTAATGACACGTATCCTGATATTATTTAGGTTCACAGCACAGCTGGAACAAAGTTGGAGAACACCGTCTACGATTTGTGTTTCATATCGTAATGATATTTGGTAATACACTAGTAACTGGAGCTAGCCACGCGGTGAAGAAGTACTAAAACTCGGTGACATTTTGAAATAAGAATTCGACCTTTGAGTACCTTTATTTTATCAAATAAATAAATATCAAATAGTTTAAAAATCTGTCGTGAGGCTAACATCATTTATAGTTAATTCTACCTTTTTAATGTAGTTTAAGAACTTTTTCCACCAATTAGATTTTCCAACCTTTCTATCCTGTGAAACCTAAACAATGTGTATTTATTGTCATTCCTTACGCTTCCAACCCAGAGCAAATATATAGAGGTTACACAACGAGTGGTTGTTGAATATGGTATTTATTTCACTCGAGTTACTTAATTTTAAAAAGTTACAAAAGACACGAGCTTTAGCGAGTGTCTTTCTGTAACTTTTGAAAATTAACTAACGAGAGTGAAATAAATACCATACTCAACAACCACAAGTCGTGTGATCTGTTTCTACCACAATCTCATGATCAGTCGGAAATAACATACACACATGTGTTTGTTGACAAGGCTGGCGTAGTGATATGACCCATATGTAAAAAGTCACTCATTAATATTCAAAAATGACTTCTTTTTTTTACAAATTTAATTATTGTCAAAATTAATGTTTCGGCAACAACTTCGTGAAAAAATAAAATAGATGAACGACTTTAAATATTGAGAGTAGCAGTATTGCATTAATTTATATAAATTAACCACGGACTATATGCGCGTAAGCATATCGTATGAAGTCTGCCTCCCGCCAAGTGATGAACCGTTGTAGACGAACTTATCGCTGTCAATATCCAAAACATTGACCTACGTTTCTAGGCCTACGTTTCTTCGTGACGGTTCTATGGTTGTCGTTTATAGTGAAAGTTCAGCCATAGTCAGACCGTCTAAATAGCGATAACGGGACGTTGGGAAAACGAAATATTTCCCGACACAGTGACAGATCTTGTTTTGGTTTCTCGACCTGGACACGCGACGGTGTGACGTCGAAACGATATCGAGCGTCTGTAGCAATTTTGCCTGAAACTAGCGATCAAATCTTTAAGTGTCATCTTTAAATATTGCCTTAATAACCACCCTTTCCACATAACCTCACAACGTCACCAACATTTGTCAGATGTTGACAGCCGATGACGTAAAGAAAACAGCAGGTGGCAAAAAGCACGTGGAAAAAGTCTTCCCGGTCAAAGTTCATCTTCTCGACCAATCAAAACTCTTGAAGGTCATATACCACGTGTGGTATATAACTCATATTTATCTAACAGTCTGCGTGTTTATACAATGATCTGAGAGTGGAATAACACAGCGTATTGTGGTAGAAATAGCTTTCCTATATCGCACGGTGCAACACACAATTCTATAATTGACGACTTTTGTTTTCCTCCATATCAACATTGTATAGATCATGAAAACAAGTATGGATATCATAGTCGATATTTCATACATTCTTAAAATAGCGGTACGCATTGCAATACTGTATCACGGGAAACTTTCGCCCTGTCAAATATTCGCCGTTCACCGGTAAAACCCATGTTCGTTCCGTGTTCATTTCGACCTGCGCATGTCATAGCTATATATGGTCATCCTTCAGATTAAACCAAGATACCAGTGCGCATAGGCGATGATGAGGCTCACACAGACACGCTGCGTTCATTGATGAGAAGGAGTCTATGTTCGAATGCTAGAATCTATTTTACCGTACTTTGGTTTCTTGGTCGCAAGTACGTCGCTTTCAATAAACAAATTAGATATAGCATAGTGACGATTTTTTCCAGTGCAAGTAGTCAATTTTGATATAGTACATGCAATCCCAATTGCATGCAGTGATTTCTCTGTTTTGAACACGCGCAATCTGTAATCTTAGTTGGAAACCTAGCTACATAGCCTTTAAAATATGGAAAAAAAATCTTATCAAATTATCAGACGTGTGTTCGATTACTTATACTTGACTGTCATTCGTTGCTTTCATATACAGACCGATAGAGCCTTTTAAACAAGAAAGATTCTGCAGTTGCGCACGAGTAAATTTATCATAGATGGCGATTCTTCGTCATCTATTTAATGTGCACGTACTCAACTATAGTTAGCACCAAATAACCTGACGAATAGATGCATGTAATGTGGTCCCCAGCCAGAGGCGTAGCAAATTATTTTCGGAGTGTATACTTACATAGCTGGGGAAAAAATCTACCATGCCCTAGAAACAATCACCCGTGTTCTGAGAACACCTTTTAATATGATTATTTACAATTAAAATGTCACTTGCTAATGATAAGACTGAAAGGCCCTTGAGGTTCAACAAGCCCATCAATAGATGTTGTCGTCACCTAAAATTGTAATTTGAATATATTGAACTTGTATATATATATAAATTGGCTATTCGAAAAAAATACGTAGCCATTAACGTAATCGAAAATAAGTCATTAAAGCTGATGTCGTCATAAAAATAGCTCACCGGATTTATAACATGTCAATCTCTTTTGCGAATCAACTGAGTGCTAGGAAATGACCTACAATTTAAGTTTATTTATATGCCTAGGTCATGCGGAGCTTTATTTCTTTTTCTCCTTGTTGTTGATATGAATTCCTACCTCAAATAAAGATAGAAGTTGCCATGCGAAACCACTAAAATCATAATAACATCCCCTGGTAATATATTTCAACAGAAAATAAATAAGAAAACAATGGCTAAGCATCTTTAATCGATAAATGAACTTTAGATTATGTGCCATTTAATAACATTCTGTGATGTTATAAATGCGCTAGACATGTTATAAACATTGAAGCTGAAAAGTACGATAATGTTTATAACATGTATATCTTTTTTTATAAAAACATTAAATGTTAAGAAAGGGCACTTTCTATGAAGTTAAAAGAGAAATTAAGGTCTCGTGACCTAGGTATATAAATAAACTTTGAATAGTATATCATTTCGTAGCGTTCAGTTAGGTCGCTAAATAGATTCACATGTTATAAGTCCAGTGAGCTATTTTTTTGAAGGCATCAGCCTTAATGCTTTATTCATGACTACGTTAAACTGGTTATATACATTTTAAGTAGCTTGTGTAAAAGTCCAATATATCTAACATTACATATATTTATATATTCCTATCTTTAATAAGGATCTCTGAATATGACTAACCAGGGGTTGAAATTTAGAGTGACTAGTACATCTTTTAGGAGGATTGTTGAACCTTAAACGATTATCTGAGGACAACATGGTATAATATGTTACGTCGTACTAAAATTTTCAAGAAGATTTCTTTGATATTTTTTTCCCCTTTTTATGATACGGACGAACGATATTAATCATAAAAAAAGAATCAATTAAAAGCATACAAGCATACATGTATGCTACGCCACTCTCAGCAAGCTTCTTAAAGAAATTTACTCACCTCAAAAAAATCTTGAAACTTTCCTTAGCGAGTTATAATTTCGTAATTATATTTTAAACATGTTGATGTCATATTTTTGTGTATGCTATAACCATTTTTCTCCAGTAGTCATAACACTCCGTGAAAAAAAAATCTAGAAAAATCCGGTTCCGGTTTGAAATAAAATCCCGGATTAGCTTTCAATTTAGATTTGCCTTGTTTACATTTAGGAGAAATGTCGGCTGCTCGGGTCACTCAGTGTGAACAAATATTAAAATTTCAAGCCTAAAGAATAATTCAGCTGCATTAATAATTTGAAATAAAAGACCAAGAAGGATTTTTTTTATCAAAAACAACTGAACACACACGTTTGTGCGAGAGAAACAAAATGGCATACAACTGTTTGTGAACTTTCTTGTCTTCGAGGGATCCCATAAACCCAAATGAGATTTGCTACCCACGAAACGGATACCAATTTGGCTAGACGTTTTCCTTAATATGAGATAATCATAAAAATCAGACAATGAATAAGCAAGGGCTTCTTGTCCATCATTCATATGTTCCTCTGTGGGAACTGTATATGTTGTAGTAAATTATTCGTGCAGAGAATCAATGCGGAACTTTCAGTATAAACTAATACAGTGTGTTCTATCATGCATTATGCTGAACAACAACTCATCGTTCAAAGGGAAGTAACTCAAGTATGCCCTGTTAGCGATTCAATAAATGCCGCTTTCATGTAAAGTAAGATACTCTTACGTTCGTGTCTAAAACCAAATTCGTAATTTGTAGAAACTGCATTGTTAACCAATCCAAAAACAGTCCAGCATTCAGACTGCATTGTATCAGCCAAATGACGCAATGAATTAAAAAAAATAACAATGTTAAACGGCTCTACATATAAAACGTATCTTAGAATCAGACGGTGACAGAACATTGTAAGTGGGTGTTTTTCCTCATTGGACATAGACCTACTATTTGACAACAGATCGTCACGACGGTAAGGATTAGGCCTAAGCAATGCATGATGAAAAACATGATCCGAATGGTTAGGCCTACCTGGGATATGTTGTATGAATAACTGTTAAATGTTTAAAGAGAGGAGTGGCATATTTTCATTCATGTTCCGATTCTAAAGCGGCAGTCAAACTGCTCACAGTAAGCATGAACCTCGGTTCTATTTCATATCAACGTGCCGTGGCCATATAAATCAATCATTGATTTACAGTGGGATCTCGTTAATCTGACCACCGATATTAA